GTGGGTCCTCTAAGTTGCCAGTGTTTGAGACATTGGCTGATTCTCCTGTTTGACACATCCCGATGTTTCAACAAGCTCTCCCTTGTTTGGTGGTTTGAAACATCAGTCTCACCTAGCCAACTGACGTTGAGTCTCTACGTTTCTCAACTCCGAGCGATCCGCGCTCGCTCCGAGCGAGGCAAGGGCTACTCTTTCCCGGTGGACATTTGGGCATTGGGCATTTGCTGCTACATGATGCTCTTCCAAGGCGAGTCGAACTTCGATTCGAGGGACACGTGGATTTGTTCTCTCACACCAGGGAGAATCGACCTTCTCACCTTTTGGCTGTCCCTTGGCGACCATATTTATTGTCACGGTTCCAAAAGGTCAACCTTTTTGACGGGGTCCTTTGGGCAAGCGAGTTTTCTGTGAACGGGAATGTTTGGCGTTTTGTCTGCCAAGTGGTCAACCCCAAAACGGCCGAGTCGCGCAAGCCGTTTAGTCGCGCAAGCACTTTCGTCGCTCGGTTTGCGTTATCCGAAATCCAGCTTCAGGGGCATTGCGTTCGCCCGCTGAAGGTGGACAAATGGTTAAATTCGAAAAGGATTCCCTTCCTCCAGCAAGGTTGTTGCGGAAAGGCCAGGAGAAATCTGAATGAATAGGTGACCGGTTGGTCCTAAGACTACAAGTACTTGCCTAAACTGAAGTGACCCCAGAATTTCATGGGTTGCCATTGCAAAATCAGCCACAAAGGGGTCTCTTGTTTTAGGGCAGAAAGCATTTTCTTAATTGGACTTTCTTTAATATCTTAATAAAGCACGAGGTCAGCGGAAATGAAAGTGTTGATTGAACAATGCCGTGGCTTGCCACAGTGGGCGCTGGTCTGCTGATTGTGTAGAACCCTTTCCATCAGGTGCAGAGCGACCACTTGGCACGCTTCCATCAAGCGCAGACACATTTCACAAGATTGGTTTCGATGTCAATTCCTACGTTTAGTTTTATCAGACGTATTGTTTTCTTCCACCCCCACCTCCCCAGTTCGTCTTCTTTACAGCTTTCAACATACCTTCTTGGGCAGATTTGAAGTGAAGCGCGCTTTGCTTTGGTGGGGTGATGTTCACTGGTCGGACCTCCTAAAGACCTCGATCTCTATTGAACCTCTTTAGCAGAGATTTGGAGCAATGCCTCCATACCTCCAGACACAGACCTGTATAATACGGGTGGGTCTTTCTTTAGGGGACCGTTTCCCCGAGTTTGCCCTTTTGATTTCCCTCTAAAACACCGCCCAAAACCACCGACAAAAGACGAGCCACCCATATTTCGGTGCAGGCACGCATCCCTTCATGGAGAAGGGCGTGTTGAGCTGGGAGCCGAGTTTCTTGCATTTGCTTAAGGAGGTTTCCGCCTATTTCCGCCTGTTGGTTTGAAAGGGAATCGATTTCACTAGTGTCTTTGTGGTTGTTTTTTTTCAGGGGACTGAAGCAAATGGCGGGTTTCAGGATTCTTGACCGGACAGACCCGGAACCAGCCACTTGAAACTGGCTGAACACAGCGTTGGGTCTAGGGAAGTTGAGGCAGCTAATGTGTTTGGCATACTTTGGGCGCTGGCGTTGGTCAGATGTTGGTTTTGCGGCATGGGAGGGAGATGGAGGGAGAAGCCTTCATTTGAACCCAGACGTGTTTTGTTCTCTCCAAGTCAGATTCCAAATTCAATCATGGTCTTCTCCCCTGTTGGTGCTTCATGAACAGCTTCTCACTTCCTGAATTCCTGCACTTTCGATATTTGTTTGGGTTTGACCCGCTTTAGTGGTAGATAGAACAAAAACTCGTACCTTGCTTTGGGCCAATGCGCTCAGAAAGCGGGCCATGACTCGATACCTTGGCTGCTTGAAGGAAAGCGAGCTCACCACGCGGGGGCATTCGAGGCAGGGCCTCAACTTGGTTCGGAACCAGGCATCCGGTTCCTTAGCGTTTTAGCTTTTTAGCTGGTGTAAGGTGGTTGGGTTTTCTTTTAGCACACTGAAGGTTAAACTTTGAGCGGGGGATCTGAGGACCGCCCAGTCAACATTCCCTTAAACCAGGGAAGTCACCAACCGTAATGTTCCATGGGTTTGAGGTAAAGTTGTTGTTGATCTTGAGCATTGCTGATGAGTCCTCACTTGGGCATCTCAACATGAGGTATGGGACGGCAGAGTGAGATGTCCGCCCTGGTAATTCTGATGGTGTTGGGTGCCTGGTCGGGTGACATTCAGGTTCCTTAAGCTACCCTTCAGTCGCCAAGGGCGAAGGATCCCTTCCCTAAACAGTCAAGGCGAAGGATCAGGAAGGATCAGACGGTGCTTCATGGTGGCTCGTCTTTTTGGGGGGACCCCTTAAGATGGTGGTGTTCAGTTGGGTTTTGGTTTCCCTTTAAATCAACCCCAAGAAGAAGATAGGCACGCCTTCTGCTGGGTGGAGATGCATGACCCCCGAACGCTTCATCTCATGGCTTCCAAACATCCCTAGAGTCGCCGCGCCTGCACCCTCACGGAGAGTCCCGTGTCCCTCTGTGGCAGGCAGGCTGGTTCACCAGCTGGAAACTGAATGACTTCTTGGAGTGGATGCTGATGCCATATCCCGCCGGGGCCTTTTTCGTCCGCGAGTGCGTGCCGAGGTTTGCTCGTTCTTATTTTTCAGGGGAGAAAGCACCAGAACACGGCGAAACCATGTTCCAACTGACCAGAAAAAGGAAGCTGCCGGAGACCGGTTCCAAGGTTGGATGTCCTTCGCCCCGCCAAAAAAGAAGCAACGCCGTGCGACGCCCAGGGCCAGAGGATAACGCCGGAGGAGGTTCCGGAGCACAAGTGGCGCAGCTGGCGAGGTTTTGGTGGATGGGACGCCGGTAGGGCGGCAGAAGCCCTCCGGGGCGTTTCTTTCAAAATTGGGGGATTGTTTCAGGAAAGGTGGTGGTCTATGGTGGTCTGTTGGTTTCCTTGTACCAACACATCCTCACTTGCCCCTTGGGCGAATGGACCCGATTTGTTTCTTCCTTTGTTCTTCGCTTCTTCGGGGTCCCATTTTTCGTGGGCCCGAAAGGCGATCACCCTACGATTTCTGGGCCCAAACTGGGCAACTGATCCCTAACATCGGGAAGGCTACGTTCCTTTTGGGGTCCCTCCACTTCCATGAGTGAAGAGGGCAAAGAGTTCCCCATAAGCTGACATAACCTGAAAGGCCCCGAGTACGAGCGTCGATTTTTTTTCAAAATGCGGGAGACAAAGACCTGAGGGTTCTAACAGGTTCGCTCATCCGTTAATTTGATCCATGGTGGTGAAGACCCCCCAATTATTGCTTTGTGAAAAACAGGTGAAGTGGACAAGCGTGTTTGTGAAGCATCCGAAAAGAACCCATTTGCGATTAGAACCCAATGGTTGATTGCCAATCTCTTGCCGCTCCTTTTGTTTGGTGGGGAGTCTCCGAGGGCCGTTTTTCTTCGGGCAGGGATATTCCACGTATTCTATTTTCAATCTGTTCCCAACTGTTCCCAACTGTTCCCCGATCTTCCCTGAGTTGGACTTTGATCACTTGGGGTGTGGTTGCCATTGTAGTGGTAAACCACACAGTTTGGTCTGACGTGTAGCTCATCCACTGGATCGGTGAGCGAGAAATTGCAGACCTCGTCCGCGCGAGGTGCTCCTCCTTTGGCCTTGGAAAGGGCCGCTCGCTCGGCAAGCCGGGACCAGCTTCGGCGAATGGCACAAAGCTTTGTGGCGTTCTCGTTGTTTCGGTTTTCCCTCTTTTGGACCTCCAGGAGAAAAATGGTGTCGTTGTTTCTCTACTTCTCCGTGCCAGGAGACACAAACGGGGAAGATTGGCACCCACACCTAAATTGAACATTGAAAACTGCGGCGGCAAAATAAGTGGGGAACCCGCCAAATTGAAAGTTGAAAAATGAAGCGGACGACCGATGGAACCCGCCTTTGAGGGAAACTTGAGGAACCATTGCAACTTTCCTGAAGAAATCCAGGCCTTGTGTCTCAGAACGTAGGTTCCTTGGTGTGGTGAGTTGTGAGTCGGTACCCTTGTTTGGAGGGTGTGGAAGGGAAACCAATGGCCATTTTTTTGGCACATGCCCAAAGTACAACAGAAATATGGTGGATTCATCGGCTCCTATTGATCTGATGGTTTTCCCATTTTGGGTTCGCATATGGGTCCCAAAAGGTGATCACCTTTGATGTCCGTTGGGCAGGTAGGCCATGAATCCTTTTCCAGAGGTCCAAAGTTTGGGGGTTGGTTTCAAGGGAAACCAAAGGGGAAAATTCCCCTTTGGTTTCCCTTTTGGTAGCCACTAGCAACTTCTTTTTTTTCGACAGCAAAATGAGCAGTGGATTGTCGTGGTCCATGTGGGATTCGAGGCAGGGAGAAAAAAGACGTTGATCGTGGTTTCTGACGACCCTGGTTTGGTGTCAACCGCTTGCTGGCTCGCCATGAAACGGAGCCCGAAGAGAAGCCGCACATGTTGCATATGAACTGGGACAAGATGACCGAAACATTTCAAGGGGCCACACGCCGCGCGCAGCGTTGAGTCTCGATCGACGGGGCTCCATAGATCACACATTGATGCAGTGCTTGCAGCAACATACACAGGCCAGTGTTTGTTTGCTCAAGTGATTATCGGTTTGTTTGGTGTTGCCAACAATAGGCATGAAAATGGTTATATCTCTTTTCGTAATCTACCTTATTGATTTCCACGTCCTCTCTGCAGTTGCACCCTATAGTTGGTTGAGCTAAAGTACAGAAAGCCCAGAGACCATCCCTAGACCGCCTTGCAAGTCAAGGGGGGGTTCTCCTCAAACTGAGAGCTAGCATCCTTGAAATCTGACTTGAGGGGAGCTTTGGGTGCTAAATAAGTCCCCGAAAGAATGAGAAACCCACAGCGTGAATTGCTCAAGTCTCTTGTTGGCCGCCTAGGTCCTCCAAAGAATGAGAACACCACTCGGAGAATTGCTCAATTCTTGGCCGCCTTGGTTTTCAGCTTGTCCTTTTGGTGCCTCGTGGGTTTGTTTCTTGCGCATGGAACACACCTTGGCGTCCTGATGGGTGCTGATGGACTCGATGGACCCGATGGACCCAATCTTCCGTGTGCCGCTGAGCTTTCACAACTTTGTGGTGCTTGCGGTGACGCTGCCAGTTGCTCAGCTGAGACCCGTTGTTTTTTGTTCTTCCGCTTTTGGGTCCCATTCGTATGTTTGTGATAGAAAATGGTTTCCGGATTTTTAGGTTCAATCGGACAGAGCTTGAAAGATCGCATGTTGATCTAGCGGAGACAAAGGTGCTTTTGGCAACATGCAAGCAAGTCTTTGGGTAACAGGTTGTTTTTACATGACCACCTGACCCTTGGGCACACGAGGTTATCCTCTGGATTGCCAAAGTTGCATATCAGCTGGCCATGGTCGTCCTCATCCACCACCGACTGCACCTGAGCAGACCCATCTGTCTGGCTAAAATGAGCATCCACGCCCCTTGGATCGAGCCAGATCGGCACGTTTGTCCAGCGTAGGGTTTCCAAGGCAGCCGATTTTGCTGATTGCTCCCTTGCTTTAAACCATATGCTGGAATAAATTGGAAACCACTTCCTTGGAAGCCATATCCCTTTAGGCAGCCAGATTGGCGCCATGGTTTAAGCTCCCTTGCTTCATTCGCCTAAACCATTTTCCAGTGTACCCACAAGTACCGACACCCGGTTTGCCCTCATGGAAGCATCTGAAATAAGCTTGGCGAAGCGTAAACCCTTTTGCAATTCAGTATGTTTGTTCGGGAGACCTCATGCCCTGTTTCAGAGACAGCGGGTGTTTTTCTTTGTAATTTATCTGGGTGCCGAAGGTGTGAACCCGCGGTCAGTTTGGTGAACATCACAGTACTACCTGGACCCTGAAATCACCCTTGAACAAGGGATGCCCCCAGAAATCCAGGCTGCCCCTGCTGCTCTTTGGAGGGAGACTTGAGGTGATTTGGATCCGTTTTTGCAGGGGGTTCCATTTCGGGTACCTCTTGTTGACCCACACCCGTTTTTTGAGACATCTGGAGGCTCAAGAATTTCAATGGCTGATCCGACAGCACTTCAATCAGATCCTGCGGATGCGCCGGAGCGTTCCGGCCAAGCAGGCGTGGTCTTGGGTGGGTTGGTTGGGGTTGGCTTATCCAACATGGAAGTGGACGTTTTGGGGGTCCTCAAAGGGAAGTAGTCTTTCAAAACCTTGTTGGAAAGAGGGTAGGGGTGGTTGAGGAGTATCGGCAGAGCAACCGGTCAGTTTGGGGCTTACTTAGAACCGAAAGCGAGTCGGTGAGACCCTTCGCCGTTTGACAAACGTCGGAAATGACAGGGACCTTTTCCAGTATAGATCCACTAGAAACCCGTGTTGCGGGTCCGGATGTTTAACCTCCCAACAAGCTTGGGCGGCCAAAATGACATGCGTGGCGTTCCGGTTGATATGTGGGGACGGCCCACCGAAGAACGTGAGGTGCCGCAGCTGGAGGTGCTGGTTCATTTACACCCAGACGCCCAGCTGCGAGCAGAATTTGATTGGGACTTCTCTAGGTACCTCTGGTGGAGGTCCTGAGTTCGTCGACTTTAGTCACTTTGTTGGTTTGGGTGCCCTGCCGGCCTACTCCGATTTGCTCATGTGGTGTTGGTGCAAGAAGTGAAGATGGGAACCAGCCTTCAATTATACAAGTACCTTCGGCAATCACATGGGGGCTCCCCTCAGGTTACAAGCGAAGGTGAGACGAACCCATTTGGCAGATGACGTGATTCGACCGGCGCCTGCCTGAGGAAAGTCTGCGCCTGGTGTCGTCAGAGGAAGAGGCCGCGCTTTTGCATTTGCTTGCTGGTGAGGAGCCAGTCGGTATGCGGACTCCCACCAAAACGGAAATATGTTTCTTGCGTTCCTTTCGAATAGAACATGCGCCTCCAAGGTGTTTGCCACCGTTGCAGTTTGTCCATAAAGGATAGACAAATAATGTTGCTGGTGTTCTGGGAACGTTGGCCTCACAAGGATGATCCAAATCCTCGGTTAGACGGGCGCCAAGAGGACCGTCCAAGGCAGGTTCCGCTCCGGTAAAAATTGGCAAGACGGTGCACGGCCAAATGGAAGGAACGATACATGTTCTGCAACAACAACAGTGACAACAACGATGACGACAGAAACAAGCACTACAACGACCATTTCACAGCAGCAGCAGCAGCAGCAGCAGCAGCAGCAGCAGCAGCAGCATCCACAACAACCGCAACCACAACCACAACCACCACGACAGTGACAGTGACAACAACAGCGACCGCGATCACTACAACGATGAGGGCACCTTGACGAAAATGCAAGTCTACTTTAACACACTTCCTGAACTCTAGACTTTTTGGGAAGACCATGTTGGTAGTAAATGAATAGCTCCGACTTTTCGTGGCCAGTCCATTCAGGAACTGTCCGTTGTTATCGCTTCCAATGGCAACGGGTCTGGACATCAGGTGACTCTGGAGTTTACCTTCGACTCTTCCGCGCCCTGCTGCATCAGCGTCTACTGGGGCCTGTCGCCTGCAGCCTGGGACAAGTTGGTCAGGGCTGCTGGGCGCAAAGTCAAGCGCGCACGTGGATGCCTGGGTTCAAGGGCTACTGCTCGCTCATTGCCGCAGATAGGGATGGTTCCTTGGGGATTTATGGTGTACTCATGATTCATAGCGGTTTGCCCAGACCATTTTGCGAAGGTGGATCGGTTCATTCAAGATCCGACCCGTCGATGATGGATGTGTGGAAAGGCAGTCGGCTGTATTCAGAATTGGCTGTGAACTTGTTTAAGGGCTCTGTAACAGAGCCGCGGCGGACATTCGTTACAGACCTCGTTACTGAGGCTCGTTACACACCCCTCGTTACACCCCTCGTTACATACCCCAATGGATGCACAAACTCTCAGTGATTTTCCATGGGTGCCGGCAGAAGAGACTTTTGCAGAGCATGCATTTTGCTGAAGAGTCAACTTGCAGAGAGCTTGCCATTCAGATGAAAAGTTCAAACAGAGGCCGCTGTTGCTTTTGTGCATTGCTTTGTCTCGTTACAGACCTCGTTACATAGCCGTTACATACCTCGTTACAAACCCAACCCAGCCCGGGCCAGCGACCCCCCTTTTTGCCACAGCTTGGCTTGCGTTGAATAGCTGCAAGCAAGCTGGAGCTGCGGAGGCGCGCTTTGCGCACTGCGCTTGCTTTGCCTCGTCACAGACCTCGTTACGTAGCCGCTACATACCCCGTCACAGCCCCAACCCCGACCCGAACCCGTGACCCCCTCTTTTTGCCGCCGCTTGGCTTACGTTGAATAGCTGCAATCAAGGTGGAGCTGCGGAGGCGAGCTTTGCCTACGCTTTGCTTCGCCTTGTTACAGACCTCGTTACGTAGGCGCCACATACCCCGTTACAGACCCAGCCCCAGCCCGGGCCAGCGACCCCCTTTTGCCACAGCTTGGCTAGTGTTGAATAGCTGCAATGAAGCTGGAGCTGCGGAGGCGCGCTTTGCCTACTGCGCTTTGCCTCGCCTTGTTACAGACCTCGTTATGCCGTTCCATACCTCGTTACAGACCCCAGCCCGCGCCAGACCCCCCCTTTCTTTGCCATCGCTTGACTCTTTGCAGTTGCAAATTTCTAACTGGAGCTGCGGAGGTGTGCTTTGCGTACTGCCCTTGTACTGGAGAGTTGCAACTGTCGAGCGTTGTTCTGCGCTGCATTGTGCTACTGATACCGATACTTGTCAAGAAATGTTTTCCCGTCACAGACCGTTATAGACCCGCAAAGAAACATAGCCAACTGCTTCTATCCATACTGTCGCAACAATGCTTTGTGCAGTGCGCTGAGATGGCATAAAAGCTACTCGCGGCAACTACTTTGGTGAGCCAAGAAACACGCTTTTGGTTGGTGCCAGGAGACTTTACACTCACGGCCACGCTCAGGACATGGACCAGCAGCGGAACCGCGCCATGAGGAGCACGTCCTCCAGAATGGAGCCTGCAGGAGGACGCCGATTTGGGCAAGCCCATGGAGGTTGAAACGGGCACGGTGTCCCTTTTTCATAGTGTGTTACTCACTCCCCGAGTGCTCGGGCTTGAGACTTTTTGGGTTTGAACCATTGAAGGCGTGAAGGTGGCAATAAAGAGGATTTTTGGGCGAATCTAGATCGGAAGTGGGTTGAGGGCTGGCCAAAGGGAAATCGCCCATGTGGAGGCTCCCGATTTTTTTTTCAGAGCCCAAATGTGGCAAAGTACGAAAAACCACCGAGCTGGCATAAAGAAGGCCATTTGTTGGGTGGTTGCCACTTTACTTTTTGTCACAATTACCCCAAATGAACCCCTTGATAAAGTATGATAAGGTATTCATGAATTTGGACAGTCTTCATGCCAAACAAATCCCAGAGCATGCAATCTCTTGAGGAATTTCCTGGTTTCCTTGTGGAGCATTTCCATGTTCAAGCACTTTTGCGGGTGTTTCAAAGCGACTACTGTTTTGGGGGTCCCTTATTTTAGCACAAAGTACCAGGGGCTAAATTACGAGTAGTTTACCCCGATACTCATCGCTCAGTTTTGTCTAAAAGCACCTGATAATCCCATTCTAATGCCATATGGCGGTTTCTGCAAATTAGGAAACCCTTGGCACTGGCTTCCTGTGGGTTGCCTTTACAGCCATCCGAAACGGGTCCCCGAGAAGCGGTAGGAGTGCTGGAGCTGGGCTACCAGCCCCCCTTCACGACCGCGAATGCGGGCTTCCTCTTCACGGAGCAGGAGGGAAGTTCTGTCATGTGGTCGCCCCAAAATAGGGCAACCCCAAAACGGAACCCTGGAAAGGGAAACAAGGACTAAAACCTGCGGTCCCCTGGTGGCTTAATTTTGACCCACAGCCATGGGACAATTTGGTCAGCCCCTTAATTTTTCCGGGGAAGTTTAAGAGTCGAACTGGGCGGTTCTCTTCAGGAAATATGATATATGTTTATATTTATATATTTATAACCCAACTCGTCCAAGGGCATCAGTGCTCCAATTTCACGTTGTCTATGATTGAGTGGGAGGACATGGGTGACATTTGGATAGGACCCAGAATCAATCCTTGGGGGTTGAGACGCGAACTCTTTCTTTCCAGGCGACCCAACGAATCCGTTGTGGAGGGGTCATTTTTTGGAGGGGTCACCCCCTTCCGGTTCATTCCCAGCACCCACACTCGGTCAAGCCGTTTCCCGTGGAGGAGTGCGCGCAGCGGTCTTCCCTCTACTCCCAGCCAGCGGGCTGTATGCAGCGCTTTAGCATCCCCGCCCAGGACGGCTTTTCTTGGCGAGACTTACACAGATCTCCTGTGCGGCGGCATTGGTGTGTTGGACTGCTTAAATTGGTACCGGGTGTTTTTGTAGGGAAAGCAAAGGAACGCGTCGCCAGGTTGGGGCCCACCATGACCATGACGTTTAAGAGTTGGGACCCTCTGAGAAGTGGTTGGTGGACATAAACCCAACCGCCGAATGTTGATGTCCACCAAAGATATGTGCATGTAAAAGTGTATAGAAGGTTGGCCTTTTGGATCAAATGGCAAAAGAAGTTTTCTTTGTTTCTCTGGTTTGGAGAAAGGATCGATTCAAAAAGCACGAAAAGATGGGGCCCCTCTTTGCTCCTTTTCTTTTCGGGGGCTTCCCTACGTACTCAAACAAGATGCTCTCTCTGATAGCTTGAGATCAAGGGGGAAGTCGGCACGGAGAGGTGGGTAGCCCGAACATGGGAGCGCATATACCAGCACCCGGGCGCGGAGGCGGAGCTGTTTTCCTCGTCAGGGTCGACGGGGCAAACTGTTTGAGTTATCCAGCGTTGGAATCCCTCATTTCAATGTGGCAAATCATTCGAGTTCGCTCAATGCAGTTGCTCTCTTTTTGGTTTGACATGTTTCACCGCAAACACCTAATTATACCTGTGCGGCAAGCATGCGATTCCAGCCACCAACTGGCAAGAAGCGTGTGTCGCGCTTCTTGCAGAGGGTCGGCTCAGTGGGGAAAGCGACTTACGTAGGGCCGTTTTCCTCGAAAGGAACCCACTTTGAATTCTTCTGTTGGGCCTGAGGATCACCACTTTGGTTCTCCAGGACCCAGGTGAGCCGCGCCGAAAACCTCGATTTTCCTTGAAGGTAAGTGTTCTACTGCTAAAAAAAAAACGGGCTTTAGTAAGACCTATATCGGTGTGTCTTCTTTTTTTGCGGGGACCCCGAAAACGGTGGCTTTCCGTTAGGCCCCCTACTTTTACTTCCATGGATCGGCAAAGAGCTGCATTTGGGCCGGTGAACACATCACATTGGCTGATGAGGATCTTGCAAGCTAATGTTGACCCCAGCTTAGTCAACCCCAATTCATGCATGGGTCAATAAACTGGTTGGTGGATTAATCTGGGGTCCACATTTTTGGATTCGCATCCTATCCCCGAAAGGTCAGGTCTGAGGGAATCGGGGGGGGCGGTTCCGGTTTTTGGGTCGGAAGGATCGGAGCGGGAGCCACGCGGTGGTCATCAGCACTGGAGAGCCGAGGGACCCGGCAGAGGTGACCTTTCTGCGCTGCAAAGAGGGGAGCGTGGAGGCCGGGGGGAGGGGTTGGAGTGACGCGTTTGGCGTGCGACTGGAAAAACCACCCCCCACCCCTCCAAAAAAAGAAGTCCCACGGAAGTTTCTGAACAAAATGTTTGACCCTTCCAGGGGATCGGTTTGTATTTGTGGCTGCCAACTGTATTCAAGAGGGCGTCTCATGGGTTCTCCAAGGCCTCAAAAGGCGCACCACCCCCAAAAAAACGACGCAGGCAGCCATCCCACCCCTACCCCCACCTTCGTGCCATCAGGTGCTGCAGCAGACGGTGGCGGGCACTGGGCTGGGGCATCGGATTCAGGGGGTCTTCGGCTTTGAGGACGAAGACGCGGGCGAGGACCGACCCAGCCTTTTTTTCTGCCGGGGTGGCAAAATGGGGGGTAAAAGGGGGGGGGGGGGGGTTGGGGTGTTTTGGGGATGCCTGGGCCCCACCGTGTTCTTCTTATATTTATTTTGCGGGGCCCATAAAAATGGGAATGTATGCCACATACACATATATATATATATATATATATATGTATTATTATGTATATATATATATATATATATATATATGTATACATAGCTGCATGTTTGGGACAAGAACCAATTTTTCAGGGTAGTTTGAGGGTTGTTGGTCTAACGTGTCCAGGACAAATTTGGAGAGTCTGCCTGTTTGATGGCGAGGTACACCGAGCCCTGAAGGTGGTCTTTTGGAGTTGTTTTGTGGTTTTCACGTTTGGATTTGTCCACCAACTGAGGGCCCCTTCAAAGAACACCCAAAAGGGGTTCCCTCCAACCTCCATATGTTCAACCATGATCCAGGTACCCCCTGGCTGGTGGTTTGGATTGGTGGTTTTTGGATTTGAACCCTGGGTGCTTGAGGGTAAATGGGACGCCGCTTCAAAACCACCAAACCACAGATTGCAAAGAAACTGACTGGACGCTGCAGCCAGCCCTTAAAATCAGTTCCCTCGTCCAATGGAAGCAGGTTACCTTTGCCTCTTGGAAAGGCCTCATGTCCACTTTGATCATTTGGAAAGCGGGGAAGTGGGCAAAATATCTCGGGGGGGTGGCGGGCAGTGCCGCTGTTGGAGTCAAATGCATTTTCTTGAATATGTGCATTTCCTTTTGAAAGCGCCAGCCGCCCATATACCGACCTTTCGCTTTGCGTGCCCCAACCCACAACTGGGGACCTGGAAACCAACTCCAAGGGGAGGGCGGGGTTGTGTTCGGGGGGGGGGGGGGTTGTTCTTTGGGGGGTTGTTCTTTTGTGGGTAGTGTCAAACTGGGGACCTTGAGACCAACTCAAGAAGGGGAGGGGGGGGGTTGTTCTTTGGGGGTTAGCATCTTAAAAAAGCAGCGCAACCCATGCCATGCGAATCCCTGGAGGCTGACTGCATGGTATGCTACGAGCGGCTGAGGAGTGTCATCATCTTGCCATGCCGGCACTGCTCGGTTTGCTCCGCCTGCTTGAGGTCTCTCAGGGACGAGCGCTGCCGCTTGCCGTTTGTAGTTTTTGCACTGGGTCGCTTACTTTGGCCGAGAGAATCCGCTTTTACCTCACTTCCTGAGTTCCTGGACTTTAAACTTTTTGGGTCGACCATTTTGGTGACAAACCAAACCTGTGAACTTGCTTTGGCCCCTCAACTCAGGAAGTGGGTTATCCTGTTTCCATGGAAGCCGACATACTGCATGGTTTCTTCAAATTAAATGCCTCTCCCCATCCCCCAACCGCTCCCCCCCACCCCCGCATTTGTGCAAGGTGTATTGTCGACCAGGAAAGAATGCAGGACTTTCATTTTTGCCTTCTTGGTCCCAAACAAGGTTTGGGCAATCCCGGTGTTTTCTTCACCAAGGCCCCATGTGCCGATCATCGTTCTCAGCTTACCTCTTGCTCCCCTTGTTGCGCACCGAGCCCGCGTCCTGAGCGCTCGGCTTGGCAAGTTGGTATCGATTCCTTCCGGCGCCTGAAGCGGTGCCTAGTCTCACCGTAGGCCAGAGCCTGGGTTCGAAGCCAAGGTGAGTCGGAACCGATGCAGAAGCGCTTAAAAAGTTCCCATCGGCGCATGACCCGGGCCTTCGGCCCGGACCTTCGAAATGGTAGCTCCAGGGTTTCCGAGTGGGATCTGATCGTTTTTTTATCTGTTGATTTGGCGAAATCCAGTGACCCCTGGGACCCCTGGCCCTTCCCAAAAGCCAGGTGCCCGTTTTTCTCCCTGGCAGGTCTTTAAATCTTTTGAGAGGCACGCCCTTCGCTAGTGAGAGGGTTTTAGAAAATTGTGGTTTGGAGTAAAATATGGGCAATTTTCATTCCAGTGTGGCACAATGATTTTGGCGGCTCAAGTCCCATCGTGTTTCACAGACGGAAGCAATTAAGGTAAGTTAAGCGCAGAACGAAGGCGTATCACACAACCGTCATATTAATCATATATGGCAGAGCTGTGTATCAATCATAGAAACCAAAGAGGCACCGCCAAAGTGCTTTCATGGCTATACATGAGGCAATGGGGCAAAAGGGGATCCGCAGAGTTTCCAGTCATGGTTCTGGGGTGAATGACTTGTCGCCTGGAGACTTGCAGGTGGGACCGTCCAGGGGGGGGGTGACCCTAGGATAATATCGGATTGTCGCCATGTTCTGAAATGCTTTAGACTGATACAAAGATGCGATAGCCTATCTTAGAAATTTGTTCAGATCGGTTGGCAATGGCGGCCCTTGTTGGCCTTAAGGTGCCCTTTTGGGCACAAACAAGTGGTTGAACACCACAATTAGGGGAGGACTAAAGGCCACTGTTGGACGGGATTCCGTGAAAGAGAGCCGCGCCAAGCCATGGAAAGGGTAGCTGATCCCAGACTCAGAGGGAGGGCTTTGGAAGGCTACTTTCCTTTTGGGCAAGCCCCCTGTTCACTTCCGTGATTGTTTCATAGAGGTAAACCCAGCAGTTCCCTCTTTGGGTAATTACATGGCCCATGGGTTTAAGTCATTGGGTCAGAAAGTGGAACCCTGCTAAGATTTCGAAGCTATCGCAACCTTTCCCAGCTGGCCTCGTTCTGAGGCACCTTCTCCCGAGAAAAGCGTGCCTTGGGCTGCAGACCGCGACGTGCTGTACCGGATTGGGGCTGCACGGGGCCATGTGGGCTTTGGAGTTGGTACCCTTCTCGGGTGAGTTCACAGGAAATCCAAACAAACACGATTTTTGGGGTCCCCCCTGATGACGTATACCCATTTGTGCTTCCGGTTCTTTAGTCAGACCTGGGGAGATTGTTGGTCATGGTTGCCTAAAGCAATGCAAAAGTGTGAATAATTTCCGTGCAGTAACGTAGGGATCATATGTCTACGATTTGTAGTGAACCCCTCAGAAATGGTGGGTGGACACAAGTCCAACCGTGAAATATTTGATGCACTCCCGCAAAACAATCACAGCTTTGCCTCGGCGTTTGCGCATGCAGTCTGGAGTCCTACAGTACGAGGATCGGTCATAGAGCCCTCACTGCCCAGCATTTATGACTCTGTAAATTGGATAAGGGGGTTCAATTTAGTTGGTCGATTTTGGGGGACGAGCAGACTCGATTTTCGTTTTTGTGCACATCGACGGTTCGACGAGCAAGCGGGAGGCTTCCATGCTCTCTTGCAAAAACAAATAGGTTCCCAATGTTTGTTTCGACAAATACCGCGTTTTCATTTCCCCTGAAAGAGTGACATCCTGGCGACGGTTAAATCTGACAGCCCCATTGGCAGAAGCGGCTGGCAAATCACCATACCATGTGTTGTGGATCTGCTAAATGACTGGCTGCCAAATGGGAGTCGTTCTAAAGGTCCTTGTAAGGAGTTTAGTATTCGGTGACCATCGGTGTTGGTTGAGGTAGCTCCGCGAAAGATTCGCGATGGAGTTGCGAAAGTAACTTTTTTTCTCGCGAAAGTTTTGCGTAACTGTATCTGGGAAATCAATGATATGTGGAACCGTTCATCTTTTCTGCTGAGCCTTCCTTCTATTCTGATTAAAGCACTTTGTTGATGTTGCGCTGATAAAGCCTGGTGAGGCTACAGTTTGATACCCTGCTTGGCTGGTTAGTGCTCCAAGCCTGTGTATGTGTGTCTGTGGGTGTTAGTCGGTGGCTTTCCGCGCTGAAACGTGGGTGATTTTTCGCGAAAGTTCCGCGAAAGATCCGCGAAAGCCCGCGCGAAAGCGCAGGCTTCGATTGCAAGGGGAGGTATAGTCTGAGCGCCGACCTAGTCAGTATACTAGCTTGGTACTGGAAAGCTGCGACTTCAAGCTGGAGCTGCACGGCGGACGAAAAGCTGCGACTTTCCAGCCGGCGCACGTCATGTACTACCCCTGTGATGAAAAGTTGCGACTTTACAGCTGGAGTTGGGAAATCGATATTTCGCTCACAACGCTGGCACTTAAAAGCTGCGATTCTCTGACTCGAGAAATGAAAAGAGCACGGCGATGAATCCGCGAAAGATTCGCGAAAGTAACTCTTTTATTCGCGAAGAATGGCCGTTTCGAGACAAAGGGATTTAGATCAACCACCAAATATGAACTGGAAGGTGTGAAAAAGCAAAGATAAAGACCTGACAAAATGATCTTGGAAAGGAAGCAGCACAAATGCCACCAGTTCCAAGACAAGAAACCTGCATTGGCAACCTGGCAGGTGCATCGGTCCGATGTGAGACGCTTGATATGCACTCAGGTCGGAAGGTGATTCTGGACAGCTATGGCAACTGGGTGTCCTATTGATCGGGCGCGTCCAAAGCATTGTACTGCGATGGCTTTACAAGCTTCAAGCGAAGGCTTGCACGGTTCATTCCTGCACGGTGCGGGGATCTTTGCAAGTTGGAACGCTAAATGCATGTAGTTTACCGCATTGCTGGTTTGCTCGGGGAAGCTGCAATTTCCCATTGTAAGCTGGTGCAGTTGCAACTATTTAGGGCACCAAATGGCGAATCTTCAGCCGTCCAGCAAACAGTGCAAGCCTTTGCCGGGCGCGGCTGAACCCAGGTTCGGCGGTGTATCGTACCGAGCGACCTTTCAACTTCGAATAGAGTCTTGGTGACACATTGGGTTCTCCAAACTGGAAACCTTGTTGTAGGAAGCGTGCATGAGGGGAGTCGGGAACGTAACATGGGTCTGGGTCAAATTAAAAACGCCAGGGGCGAAGGTTTTCGCCCTTGGCTCCACTTGCCAGGTCAATCCATTTGACCTAGTTTTGACCCACAGCCAAATGAAGCTGCGGCCATGTCAGTGGAGAGGTCGCGTGCTCGTTGCATGGAATTAAACATATTTTCGAGAACACGCACAAGGCGTGAGATGCATGAGAAGCCATTATGGCAGGAGACTTCTTGGTTAAAACGCGGATTGAGTTCCCAGCGCAGATGTAGACAGTTGCAGCTCAAACCCATCTTCAATAGTTGTGTTGTGGCTTTCCCGTTTGCCAAGGATGCCCCCCCATCCTCAGGTGTTTTGCAGGCGGTTGCGTGGGCCAGACGTCGCTTTCCTGCTTGTTGCCGTTTTCCTTCATGTCGAACGTGCCTTCGGAACACGCTCTGAGTCCAGCTTGCGGATAGTCGCCATTTGGCGGCTCAAGCTGACGGCCCATGACAGAAGAGTACACCGGCGAGGAGGCGCGAACGGCCTTTTCGGGGTCGGATGGCCCGAGATCCGTAAACTGTTGGAGCCAGAAGAGGTCAATCTGTTGGCATCTTGACCGAATATGAATCAACTCAAGGAATTCACAAGGTCAAAGGCCGGCTGTGGGCAAGTGAGTTGGTTTGGCTGAAAACAAAGCAGAGTTTAAACACCAATGGTTTGCTTTCGTTTGGGCCACATTTCTGGCCTCTAGAGACGAGCCCGGCATGGCATCCATGCTGGGTTCGAGAGACGCACCTACGCGTCAGGTCTTGATTGAAGAGCTCCCGAAATCGGCGTTTGACCACTCCAAGGACTGGCGAAGGCAGCCATGGGTTTCAACCATGGGGAAGTCGTAAAGGGAACCCAAACTTGCTGGTGCTCAGAGGGAAGGAAGTTCCGAGGGTTTTGGGAAAGGGAGGGGTTCCCTGAAGGGAAACCAAATCGGGGACTGTTCTTAGGGTCAATGCAACTTGCATTCCGGAAGCTGAGAACCAGCAAGCAAAGGGGAAGCTACAAGGATGATATCTAAAGCTGAGAACAACAGGCCAAGAGGAAGACCGAAGAAAAGTTTGGAGGGATCTCCAATGGCCCTTGATATAACCATCAGAACCTTTAGAGATCCAATGGAATTTGCTTCTACCGAGAACCTCCCGATGAATTTTGGGCCCAGCCAGGGCTCAGGCGTTGAGACCCCCATTCAATTCCAGGATGTCTAATGGAGGTGTTTGGGTCTTCCATTGTTTGGGTCTTTCCATGGAGGTAAAGAGAAAACTAGAAGAGACAGCTTTGAAGTGAAGACAGGCACATGAGATTCTGCGAATCTCCGCTGCCCAGGGCCGAGCTTCTCATTATTTGGTTTCCCAATGGTACCAGTTTCGTCATACTTCGCTGCATAATGGGGTGGTCTAGCAAACGATATGGAGCCCCAAGCCCTTTTTGTGTTCCCTCAAACCAACCCCAAAACTGGTGCCCTCAAAACAAAGACGCACATTGGACATGAGACCCAAAAAGCCGATCCATGTCTTTCTCGGAAACCCCTTTGAAAAACTAAAACATGTTTGGGCAGAAGGGTACGCAACACGGGCCTGTAGATGTGCAAATTGCTGTTGTTTTACGTTGGATTTGTTTGGGGTTTATGCTCTTACAGCAACTATTCCCAGGGCGCTATGGCGTGATGCTCTCTTTTTTGGGGTACGTAAATTTGCCCCGTTGGTCAAGCGAATGGTTGCGGCAAAACACGCAGGACAAAGCAAAGGATCTGCCGGGGTCCAAGGCAATGCCCAAGGCTCACGGCCTTCAAAAAAGTGCTGGCTGTTTTGCTCAGTTGTTCACAGCGGATCAACCTTTTACTCTTTCGGTTTTTCCTTTTTGATCTACTTTTAGTAACGGTCCCAAAAGGTTAACCTTCTATTTCCATTCCTTTGGGCAACTGAGTTTGTGTTGTTGTCACCTTTTGAATACTGTTGGGTTGTGGAAGTGAGGTTGGGGCGCTTCCAACTTCTAGGATATTCGTTGGGCGCCGCGGACATTAAACAGTCCAAATAGGTACGGATATTGTTGTGGCCTTTTGCGCAGTTTTGGGTAAGCATTGATTTGCTGAGTCATCTTGACCTGGGGAGAAGCCGAGCTCCCCCAAAGATGGAATGCCTCGGTGGTGAATTGTGTATACATCACCGAAGGGAAGCAAAACCTATGGGGTTGATCAATATTCCTGGCCCCCAAAACGACGATGGGTCGCTTTTCCAATCTAGTTGGAACTATCATCTTTTTGATGGTTAATGCGCCACAATGGTCGTCCCATGTTTAACGGACCTTTTGTGATCAACCCCCATATCGAATTCCTTCAGCTGTCAGATTTCAGCTTGGCGTCAAGTCGAGCAACGGACACCAATTAAGCTGGAGATGTTTGGGCTCCAAATTCCTTTGGTGCGCTTTTGTTTCAGCCACCATTCAAGACATGTCATGGAAATAAATGAGCTCGCTCCTTGTGAAGGTTCCCAAAACCGAAGCGTTGGTTCAGGGCGTCTCGGGATTTTGCCATTCAATAGGTCGCAGGGGAATTTGGAGGTCACTCCTTGCGAAAGGCAAAGCTTTCCTGGTCGAGGGCGTCTCTGGTTTTCGGAGTTGGCGAGGTCCTACTACTACGCTCATCAGCCAGAGGCCGAGAAAGGCTTCCCGAAGGAGGCGGTGGTTCGAGAGGCGCGAACAGCCAAGCCACGCTCTCACTTGGATGGGTCAAATTAGGGCCCCCAGAAAATGCTCAGCTTCCTGGTTCTCCGTGAAAAAAGCCAAAAGCCATCAGGACAGGCAAGCCAAGGCATCAGGTACTCAGGTATTCAGGTACTCAGCGCCCAGCAGTTCCCCACTTTGCGGCTCGGCCTCATGCGACCGAAAGCTGCCAGGAAGATCCAAGGATACGAGCAGACGGGCTCGGGCCCAAGCCCCTAGGCTCGGCGGCTCGGCTCCACCGATCCAACCGATTTCCGCGTCGATCTCTGGCCGGGCTGGGTCTCGGGGTTCCTAAAAAATATATATCTCGTTTTTGGGACCTCCAAAAGCGGTGAATTCGTTGGAATCCAGCAAACTGTAACTTTGGAAGGGGAAGTCCAGTGGTTCCTGTCTGTTGAGAAAGCTCCGGGAAATTCTCCAAGAAATCGCCCCAACCCCTGTGGCGAATTTCCTGGAGAAGCTCCCGGCGCCTTCGACTGAACTGCTGTCTGCAGCTCCTGAACCCTTCGGGTCGGAGCAGTTCATGTTGGAGATGGCCATGGGTCAAAATCCAAATCGCACCCCCAGTGAACATCCGATTCAATCCAACCACTAAAATCGGTTCTAAAGTGGGTGGTTAATTCACCTACCAACCAAAATGGGATCCCAAAACGGTTTTGACCACCACACCCATATGGTTGGCATAGGTGGCCTTTTGATCGGTTAGTTTGTGTGGAAATATATGGGCAAGCCACTGGTTTAGATGGGTGTTGCTCCATTTACCAGGGTGATGTTTTCCCGAAAGGCACCTATAATGGTTGGTTGACATGGGTGTGGCTCAAAATTAAAGAGCTAGTGGGCAATCCGGAGGCGTTAGACTTTGGTTCCATTTGGTTCTGGGCGCCGTTTTGGTACATTTGTTCCATGTTTTTTGAGCCGCAGCCACGTGATTGGTTGGTGTTGTTTGGTTGTCTTCCCTATCTTCAACTTGGCCAAATGCCAAATTATCTATGTTAAATCCCCAGTCGAAGCAGATTCGGAGATTCCAACCGAAGCCTTCTGCGGCCTTCACTGTCCCGAGTGATTGTTGGGTATTTGCATTGATAGTTGGGTGTGTCTTCTTTTTGTTTGGGTGGCTTTAAAGGGAAACCAAAAGGACACATCTCCTATTTTGAGAGAGACCCCGTTGTTTGTTTAAACAAGGGGCACATACCTTGTGTGAGATATGTGCAGGGCTTTCAGGGGATTGTCAAAACCGCAAGCTAGCAAGCAAATGAGCAAATATGAGGTTACAACCTCAAGAAACTGTGGTATAAACAGTTGGTTGGCCCCTGGTTTTTTGCCTAGCTTTGGAATCTGTGAAGAAAAAAAAGCCAACGCCGTCAGTTCCACGTGCATAGAACAAACCGCCGCGGCCAGATGAGAAAAAGAAGGTGGAGTTTGACAACGCCGCTTGGCACAGGATGTGTGCAGGATTTGCGTGCAGGGTTGACCTGGATTTTGGGCGGGGGGGGGAGGTTCCTTGTTGGACCCTGGTGCCGCCAGCACCTGCCGCCTTGTAACCGACATACCAGAAAGAAGCTTGACAAACCCCTTTTGGGTGTTTGAGGCACAAGTATCAAAGCACTCTCCAAGGGGTCCCTTTTCTTTCCCACAGGGAGATCAGGCAAGCCCCTAGGGCCATTGTTGTGACTGCTTCCGGGGCTTACGCTCCCTCAGACCAAGGAAGCTCGCAGAGGACACTTTTTTGTAGATGGAACCACGTCTTCCATCTCGAGGTAGTGGAAGCTTTCATGATAGTCTGGGGGAGAGTATCAAAGTCGGAAAATGAGGCGGGGGTTGGGTGCCCATGCTTCACTGGCTACAGTATGCTTTCGGGAGAGCGGGGTTGCCATCTTGCCCAACAACAAAATCCACGCATCGATGAAAGAGGCTTCCAAGCAGAGGTTGTTTCGGCGCCCGCTAAAGTGGATCTGTCTTTTTTAGAGCTGGTACCCCGTTGTTGGTCCGTTTCAAGGGGAAGCAAGGAATTAGAATTGCTTCTGGGTCGCAGTGGTTTCCCCAAGCAATATGACTGCAATGGAGCAAATTGCCGTTTCTTTTTTTTAAATGGAACTGAGGTGAGATGGCTGACAACCATGTCATTCTCCGATGATGGCAAGGCTGTGAAGGCTGGCACCCGCAGACGAAATCTCCGCAATGAAAACCCGGGCAAGCAAAGGTTAGTGAGGGACAATCCCAACCAGAAAACTTGACTGCTATTGGGTTCTATCGGGTTGGATCTTTAGACTTTAACTGTTTTTGTGAAATAGAGGTGTCTTCTACTAAACCCCCCAAAAGTTAAACTTTTTGCAGGGGGGTCAAAAGCAACCAAGAAAAAGGCTTGGATCTCCGCCCTCTTGATTCATTGCGTGGGGGCCGATCAATATTCCGTGAAAGGCCCCCAAAATGACCATGGGAAACTGTTCCCATTTCGTGGTGGCATCATCTTTAAGTGGTTGTCCATCCAAGAAGGTTCATCCCATGCTTTGTAAAACAACACGAGGACATGCGCAGATGACTCACCTGGCAAGTGGGCCTCGCCTTGGGTGTGAGATGACTTCGCCAGGTCTATGTGGACTTTCCGGAGGAGCTCAAGGACCTTCGTTCGTATCAGTTGCTTTTGGGGACCCGCGGACCCCACCTGTGACCCGGGTGGCGCGCAAGTACTTCTCACTTCCTGAGTTCCTGGGCTGGAAACCCTTTTTGGGAAGGCCGATGGAAAGTTCGGACCTTTTTTGGGCCATCAACTCGTCAAGTGTCTCAAAGGGGGCCTCTTCGAGGAGAGAGCGAGGTGCTTTCCACCATCAGTTTGGTTCAAATTGATTTGGACACTTACCTGCAACAGACACACAGTTGACTTTGCTGGACATGAGCTCTCGTGTCCGATGCCCTGCCTTGAAGCTGTACATGTCTGCCCAATGACCTCTCGACTGAGGCCACTGTGTCAGACCAAGAGTTCCGTTTTTGGACTACCCCAACGTAGACTTAAACCCAGGGGTTTCCCTTTTGGGCAAATCAACCACCCCTGGGTTTAAGTCCACTTTGGGGCTGTCAAAAAACGGAACCCTGAAATTGAGACCCTCTTGCAACGGGTCTGGTTCGAGCCGCGCAGGATGCAGAGATTACCTGCGAGTGGGAGCGCCTGAGCCTTGTGGGGCGATGGCTCCATAGGGATTAGGAGAGTTACTCCAAGGCCATTTTCTTGCCGGTGCGATAAGCAGGGAATGAGAAATGGAATGAGCCCTATAAACCATCCCCTATGTTTTTCTTTAAGGGAATCCCCAGGTTCATTCCCTCATTCCTTGCTGAGCACCAGCAAGTTTTGCTGTCATCAGAAGAGAATCATTTGTGAATTGTTTAGCCCCTCATACTATTTGCAGCTGTATAGGGGGAGTGGGTAGGGGAAGTCACTTTGATTGTTGTTCCCCTGAGTTGAGTGGCTCCCCATGCCCTGCCTAACTGGCTAGTCAAGTCCAAGAAACGCTTGTTCCTTACTGAACATGGGGAGGCATGTGAGCAACAGGATGAGCAACGAGGCTTGCAGTTGGTCCTTCATCGGTTTTGCGGGTCGGAAGGTTCATAGTTAAGTATCGGTTTCAAGATATCCAGTGGTCTATGGTCAGTTTGGAAGGGAAATTGGGGACTCACAAATGCCACGACCAAAAAGGGGGCTCACCAATTGGTTTACGTAAGTGTGCATTGCGGCAAGCCCATTGTTCTGGCGCACACTTGGACCCTCAAATGGTAGGGTTCGTGTTGGTTTCCCTTCAACAACCAGAACTCTTGCTCGTCTTGCCTTGGCTCACGGCACTCGTCTTCCAAAAGCGGCCGCCAACAACTCGAAAACCCATCGGAAAAGGGAGTTTGTTTCCTCTGCAAAAAGAAGCCCACTTGTATGTGTGTCTTTTGTGGCAGGTGCCCCATTTTTTTGTGAGGCAAACAAACACCAAGCAGGAAAGCCGAAAACAATTTTGTGGGGGACAATCAAAGGTTCCTTAACCCGCTTCTATGGGTAATCCTCAAATAAGAGAGCCTTGCACCTCCAAGAGACCTCAACTAGCTAGTCGTCTCTTGTGATTTTTTTTGGGAAAGCCACACAGGTCTCCCTTTTTCCCGCGTATCCTGGACTTGATTTGTGTTTTTCCAGCCTGGGGTAACACACGGGGCCTTTCGATGTGTTTCTTCCGTCGGCGTGGTCTTAGGCTTTGGCGTGGAGCTGGTGGCACGGCTGCAGAACGGCAAGCTCTATGGGATCCGGGTGAAGGACGCGGAGGCCGTCGCGCAACGCGTAACGCGGAACGCGCCCTGCGCCGTGCGCCGAAGCGCCGAAGCGCCGAAGCGCGTGCGAGGCCGCGTGGTTGCGTCGCTGGCGCTGGGTCTGAGGTTGAAACCGATACGATCCGATACGCAATTATCATGCGCTAAGTTCCTAGGTGAAAAAAGAGACAAAGGTGGAGAGTTTGAGAGGTGTACTTTGGCTTCCCGTTTTGATCAGGGCTGGGTCGTTGCTTGCTTGCTTCTGTGCTTGCTTGAGAGATGGTTTCCTTTGGTGTCCCTCTACCAAAATTTTACTCCAGGGATTTCGGAGCAAGCCGTTTGCAGCTTTTCGGTTTGACCAGTTCAATGCTGATGGTTGTGGTCAAAGAAGTAGAAAACCCAGTCCTCCAGTCGTGCTGTGTTTGTTCATTTTCCTTGAAAGGGGTTTCCAAACTAATCAAATGAACCAACAACCGTTGGGGATAAGGATGTGCAAAATGTCAGAACGGAGAGCAAGGGGCATCCAATTTGACTCCCAATGGGTGATTCAGGTTTGTGTTGTGTCCTAAAACGTTTCTCATATTTGTGTTTCCTGCTGAGACCCATTTCATTACCGACTTGCTTTGAGTCAGTCAGTGGACTGTCCAGGTACTCCTCATTTGTGAGCCCCTCAAATGGTTCTCGCCAGCCCGGTCAAGGCTGTTAGAGGCTCATATCTTCCAGGTAGCTAAGAAAAGGATTTTCGTTGGCCCGCTGGTATATGACTCACTGGAGATCAATTGCGCCAAACCTGTTTCGGCCAGGGCTGGGTCCTGGAGCACGAGCGAAAGAACGGCTGGGCCCACGAGATTGTGCCAGAGAAGCGCCGGCCTCAAAAGGCCTCAAACTGATGGCCTGCTCTTTGAGGGCACGTGGCTGAGAAGAGGCGAGCCACTCTGACGGTGGAACTCTCACACAAAGGAGTTTCTGAGCAACGACGATGGCGCAGCAGCGAATAGAACGCCTGGTTGATCCACAGGTGGCCTCCCCCTTTTGGTCAGGAGTCCTGTCACTATTGTGGGTGAAGGAAGCATGGACAAAAGGGTCATAGAGAAAAGCCAAAGTTGAACCCAGAGTTGGCATGACCTGGTGGGAATCTTAGCTTGATGTTTGTGGGGGAGGGGGGGGAAGTGCTTGCAGGGCATATTTTGGTGGGAGATCAAGATTAGATGAGGGTTTCTGCATTGGGGAGAAGCTGTCTACACCAAGGGGGGCAGGTTTGCTTGAGAAAGATGGTGCCAGGGTTTCAGTTTGGTTCCCATCGTTGTTCTGGACACATAGGGTCCTTCACTTGGGTGAATTCAACGTCCACCTCCTAGCCACTTATGCCAATGTCGTTTGTGTGAGCATTGCATGAGGTGCAAGTGGCGTTTATCCTCAAGCACGCCCAGAATCACCCTGACCCTGATGAAGAAGGACAGAAGCTGATTGCGCTGGAAGGTGTCCAGCTTTGATTCAGTTCGGAGAACTGACCCAACAAGTTTGCCAAAGCCACATGTTTGTTGGCATTTGACAGGTTTCCAGCGGATTTGGTTGGTGACTCAATGAAAGCAAGTACAGCAGCTCAGCGCCATTTGACGATTGCAAGCGAGGACGAGAATGAGAAGTGGTACGAGCTCCGCAAAAAGGACATTAGCCGCTTGGCAAGTCAGGCGGTGTTTTGGTTTGTCCGGCTGAACCTGTATGCTAAGGATCAACCTTTTAATGAGTTGAACGGCGTTTCACAACGAGTTAGGTGACCACATCTGGGCTCTCCGCCAGAATATTTGATATTTTAGGGTAGACCAATGTAATATTGGCTGTGTACCCCAGATGAGGCCAAGACGTGGCGCTAGCGCAGATCAGTCCGAGCTGACGTTGCGCAGAGCGCACGTTTTGGTCGTGTACAGGCGAAGAAATGCTGGGTGTAAGCTCGAGCATTTCAAAAACCAAAAGGCGAACGCGAAAATCCAGGAGTCTCGCCCTAGTTTTGTCCATGCAACCTCTGCGGCTTCCCATGGTGAACCGAACCCTTCAGTGGTTAGGAACTTTGAGAAGTATCTTTGTGGACGCAAAAGGGTGCCTTATTGCCACACATGTTTTTGGCACGGAAGAAGTTGCTCATGTGGGACCCTGTCCCCACACAGGCAGGGGATGATGGACATCTGGATCAACACCACTAAATCAGTTTTTCAACTTGTGGTGACTGTCAGTGTTTGGGGGCGGGATTAAGGGTAAACAACACAGGGGGCCAGATTAGGAGAACCATGAAGACCCTAATTGCAGCCATGTTTGCTTCCCCTTTAACCTCCCAAACCCGAACGGCATGTGGGCCTCTCGAGGGCATGCGGCACCTCCGCCTGCGCCGGGTGACGACGGTACCGGCAGTCCAAAGGGCAAAACGGGTGCAGCGGATTTAGGTTGAAGTCAACCCCCCAAACCACTGATCGAGGGTAAGCAGACAAAGAACCAGGGTTCAAACCTCCCCCCAAAAAAACCACAAGGATCGCACCCATAATGAAATGGTCTTGAAACAAGCCATAGATCAACTCCTTACAGGACGAAACCAGGGCTAGCTTCGCTTAAGCCAACCGGAAACGGTACCAACTCAAAGCACACACTCAAAATGCCATCGGGCTAAGTCGAGTTGTACAATGCGCTGCCACTTCGGTGTGTCTCAAAGTTAGGAGCGCATCCCGCTGGTGGGTCTCCTTGTGTTGCCCTTTCACAAGCAAAGCTACCCGGCTTCGCCCGGCACCAAAGGCACTGGCAATGAATCAGGAAAAGTTCTGTGCTGCTCCGGATACGTGCATGACAGGTACATAGATGGCCTGCGTGCTCGAAATGCTCACCGGCAGGAAACGGCACCTTCCAATGCCACGTGCCAAATGCTGTGCAGCAATATGCAAACATACACAACAAGTATATATATATATACATATTATGTTTAGCAGATGTTTGCAGCTTCAAATCAACAATTGAGTCAAGTTGCGTTGACCCATTCACCGCACACCTTCCGACGCTGCGCGTGACGCCTGGATGGCGCGACAAAGACATGCATGTGGTGGGCCAACCCACAGCCAGAGCCTCAGAATTGAATCTGAGGCTATGTGCCACCCTTATGCTCAGAAGATAGACGAACTCCCTGAGTTCTTGGACTTTGCTTTTTTGGACGACAATTTTAGTGGTAAACCAAAAGTTCATTTTTCCCGGCCATTCCACTGCACTTTCCTGGCCAATCCACTTCAGAAGTGAACAGGGCTGCCATGGTTGTCCGGTTTTCAGAGATTTCTGCCTTGGAATCTCTCACCGTGTTCGGTTAGTGCCCAGCTGAGTCCCCCTCGATTGGTTGTTTGTTTCAAGTGAATCCAACTGCGGTGTGTTGTCCATACCGCAGCGGAACCAAGCCAGCCCAGCTTGCCGACGCCCCAGCTTTCCCCAGCTTCCCACCTCGTAAAGATCCCCGTTATTTCCCGCAAACATCAGACACTACCATGTTTGTTTGCGAATCGGAATAGACCATGTCGGAGTTTGCAAAATGATGCTTGCTGAGGGGAAAACTATATACTGCAAATCAGTTTGCGCTCCTAAAACTTCTGGAATATTGAAAGCGCCGCTGGAATAATTTGCCACTGCAACCTATGACACTTGGCTGGCAGTTGCCTTGAAGGCCAGGCGAGGCGGACTTCTGATTCGTTTCAATTGCAGAGCTGTGAAGGGAGGAAGACGGCAGGCTGTTTCTGCAGGTTCCTGTTCCGTGCAAGATGCAGCCTGCCCAAAAGTAGAAAAGCACAATTTTGTTCACCTAAAACACAGCGCGCAAATCAGCCAAAACCAACCAATTCAGGAAAACATAGATATGCCGTTGTTTTGGGAGAATTGGGAGTACGCACAAATCCTAGCCAATTTCTAAGGTTTTTTGATTCGATGGGGGTCACACATTGGCGTCACGCACCAAACATGTCTCGCTCAGACCCTGCAACGCGTCCTGGAGATTCCTTGTATGCGCCGCTGATTGTAGGAGTGCACTCCTAGTGTTTAGGAGGAGCTCTTATTTTTCAAGCTTTGTGTCTGATCATTGTTTTTTCTACAACCACTCTTGCTTTCAAGCTAGCATCTTGTGTTCACCGTTCAGTCGAACTTCGCTGGACACTCCCGCATTTCCCCTGAAGAGTGGAACAATGACGGAAGCGCAACTTTGGAAATAAGTTGGATTTGAAAGGTCTGGGAAAACAAAACAGATGTCTTCCCTTTACCTTTGGACTGGCTGAACACCTCTAAAACCCCACGCCAGATACGGACCCTCAAGGCCTGGACTCCTGCGGGCTCCATCCCCGACCAGATGCACCACAAATTCCAGTCCTGGGCTGTGGACAAACTATAGAGGTGGACGTTTGGGGTTCCACAAACTGAGAGTATTCAAATACCTGGAAAGCCGTATGGCCGCTTTTTGTGGATGGAACCCGCATTTGGACCGATTTTCACGTATATCCATTTATTTTGGCCGGTGACCGTATTTGGCCGTGTGCAACTCGTGTTTGTTCAACAAAGTATGGACAAAAAACCGTACATAACCGTATGGCCATTTGTTGTGGCCCCAAGCCGTATGGACAGAACAAAGTGGAGAAAAAAAACGCCACGTCTGGGTTTCCAGGTTGTTGGTGAAAAGGGCCAAGCTTCCTGGGGGCTCGAAAGCTCCCCCAAACCCTGCAGTGTCTCCTGACGACCCGAGGGACATGCGCGAGCAGCGCCAAGTTTCAATTTTGGAGGAACCCCTGCAGCACCGACCGCTCTAAGTGTGTGGTGTTGGCGGATTTAAGATTCACAAGCCGGCATCAGAACAGAGTCGGGAATAAAACAAACCTGGACCCCCAAACGAGCACAAATGTCCGCTCGAGCGAAAAGTGCCTGTTTCTCCCAAAAGTGCTCGTTTTGGCAAAATGCGCTAGGCCAAATAAGTGCTCGTGGTTTTGAGTGAGCGCCCTTGCTTGCGCATCATTGCATGTTGGACTGCCTCGATATGTCACGTTGGTGCACAGTGGACAGAGCATATTCATTTTCGAGCACCTAGATATCTTTGCGCGCTTTTGGCCGTGGGACAACGGACCCACGGACACTTTTTAGAATTGCGCTCGGTTGCGGGAAATTGCGCTCGAGGTTGCGGGTTGTAAACTGCCCCACAATGCCAAAATGCGCCAATGTGCAAGTTTATTACGCTTGCACTCAACACGCGTTTGTTGCCCGAGCAACATTTCCTGCCCCACCCCCTGCTACACGGAGCGTGTGGGCCCTGGCAGAGCAACTCTCACACTCCAAAGCATCAAAATCCCATAGAAGTAGATGTCTGCTGGAATTGCATCTTTTTCTTTAAACAAGTGCTCGAATAAGAAAGAAGTGCTCGTATGTGCAAAAACAGCTCGAAAGAAGGGTTTGCCACAAATCTGTGCTCGTTTGGGGGTTGAGGAATATGTCTTACCTTAAGATTGTCACATGTATGTGACAACTCACCTACTGGAATGTTTTCCTAGAACAATTCAAGCGGCGCAAATAACAAACACGTCCAAAGGAGTTGTTTCTTAGTTTCGAGTCATTTGCGGGAAAGGGTTGATTGACATGTGAGCCTTTTCGGCTTATAGGTCCAGCCCTGTTTCACTTGAAGGCGCTTCATTGAATTCGCCATGGGTTGCTGCCAGAGCGCGGAGGACAGACTGCCCGTGCCTTGGCAATTGCCTGAAAGGGACAAAGGTTCGCCTCGCGTATGACAGGGACTGCCAAACTGAAGTTGGCGGACACCCAAACAACCGCAGAACATGCAAAGATGGGACGGATGAGGAAATCTTCTTCCATGATGTGTTCGTAGGAGCCGGGCTTGCTTCAACCCGGGCACTCGCGACTGACTTCTCAAGGGGCACATATGGAAAACTGTTCCTGCCACCTTTCATGTCTTGTTACCAGGATCTCCACTTCCAGTGGACCCCTTGAAGTTTTGAAGGCTTTGGGCAGCATAGTATCACATTTGGGCTTCTTGATTCCCTGGAATTGGCCAAACAAGCACAAGGAGCTGCAGCCCACATTGCAGCAGAATCTGTAGGGGAGAAACATGTCAATTCTCGCCGAATGACAGTTCAATCTGTACCCTGTCTAGCAAAATCTGCGTCTTCTGCCGAAACACATACACCAGGCGTGCCGAGTTTACAGCGGCGATGAGCCATCATTGCCCAAAAATGCGCAACCTCCATGTTGATCAAGCGGGTGTTTCCCAAATACTCGCAAAAGGCAACTTTCCCGGTTGGATTCTCTTTCAGACACCCAAAAGCAATTGTCCCAACATCCAACAAAACAAGACATGGGTTCCTCGCAGTTAAGGCGGGACAGGATCTTACGGGAGCGGGCCGCAACTTGCACTTTCATATGTAGGTGAGAAGATACCGAGCAAAACGAGCGGACGCGACATGTCTTCTCGCCCTTCTGGGTGGTTTCCTCTTGATTTCCCCTTTCTGCACGGCCTGCTAGAGGAGTTTCCAATGGAGTTTTGACCGGCACATGTGTCCCACTTTGGGCATCCTTCCCCTTTTTGTTGAAGAAGACCCCCATAAAGCCCCACGTCAACTGAATCCAGGGTTAACATGAACCTTGAGCCACAGTCCCACGGACAGGACCCAGGCTTGATCGGGGATCACTTGGGAATGGCTCCGGATCTGCCGCGAGGCCAAGGAGAAGCAGCAGTGGCTGGACCGCGTGGCCAAGAACGGCCTGGAGCTGAGCTACGCGCCGAAGGCTTCGCTGCGTGCCGACCGCGAGGTGCTGGGTTAGACCTTCCGGCCCCAAACAGACATCCAAAATCATTCCCAAACAAGCATGCCCAGTATCATTCAGACAATATGCACCGCGTACTTGAAGGTGTGCCAGCCTTTTGACTTTGCGGAAGCCCTTGTTTCGTGTGGAAATGATGAGTGCTTGGATACGTGGCCACATTTGGCCAGCCATGACATCCAGTCTGCTTTCCAAACAGATGTGTCCTCCAGACGTCCAATATGGAGAAAGTGGGCACACGTGCCCAGGCCTGGGCGGCGTAGTTGGGACCTTCCTCCGCAGCTCAGAAACAAAGAACATTATTGGAACGCTCTTCTTTGTTTTTGGGGATGGAGCAGATCTGAGCCTCTTTCTGATGTCATGTGCTTACTTGAGGCTGGCGCTTGTGAGTTTGCATTGCTAGCTTCAGTCGGTTGGGCAACAGGCAGGTAAACCGGTTGCATTAACGAATTGCAAGCCGATGGGTTCCGTTGGTATAGCCTTCTATCTTGAAATTTGCTTGATAAACTGCTTAAACCATCGCGCGGTGACATTCGGCATCGAATCACGCTTGGGCAGAGATGGCTGAAGCAGCAGCGCTCGCCCAGCAGCTTGCGCAGTCTTATTTTCAGAACTCAGGACCAAGGTCCAAAACAAAGTGATGCTGAGTTATTGATGTTTAGTTATGCTGAGTTTTTGCAGGGCCATTCAATCCAATCAGCAGAGCCAATCGAATCCCCCCACACTATTTATTGCAAGCTAGTCAATTGGGCACCACGTGCATTGAAGATTTCCAAGCTGATGCGTTCTGTCCCTATATTGAGATTTGTTTCAAACCATCAAGCAGTGACATTCGGTGGCAGGGATGGCTGGGAGTCTCATATCCAGAACTCAAAGCCAAGGTCCAAAACAAGGGCTTAAAACAATCAGCAGACTTCTGGATTTGCTCCCCGGGACCCCGGGAGCCTCGGCGCGCAAGGAGCTCCGCGGCGATCGGCAGGTGGTCCGGGCGGCGGTGGCGCAGGACGGCGCGGCGCTGGAGTACGCCTCCGAGGAGATGCCGGGGGGGCCGTCGCTGTCCGGAGGTCACGGTGCCCCGGGAAGACCTCACTCAGGACCGCTTCAAGAGTTTTGTTTGGGACTGGAATTCTTTGCTTGAGATTGAGCGTGTTTTGTTTCAGGGTGTTTCAGCACATCTGAGCTTTTCACAATGCGATGTATCGACTTGGGCAAGAACTCGGGCATCCCGGCAGTGTACACCCCAGCAGTGAACAAACGACACCCAAGAATCCTAAACAGTTCTACGGTCGATCGCTATTTTCAGAAAGCCATGTTTTTTTCTAGCAGGGCCTGAATACGTTTTCCAGTCCAGAGTCTCGATCTGATACATTGGAGGCCGAGGCAGTAGGCACGGATCTTGGCGGACCGACAAAGACCCGGCCATCGTGGTCCTGGACGGTGGATGGCTTGATGGCTGTGGATGGGTCACAGGGAACCCCACCGAATGGCCAAAACTCGTTGTTTTGCTTGTCACTTTGAATTGTTTGACTTTATTGAGATCTCATGAGGATTTGGAACCTCCTCCATGCCATTTTAAACCGGAACTGTGCCGGCGCGAGCCTCTATGCTTAAGGAGGGAAATTCCAACTCCCTTGGAGAGAGCCCTGGAGATTTGTTTTTATAAGTTTCACTGAACAGGGCGACGGGGCGCCGGGTGCAGTGCGTTTTACTGCCGGGCCGGTCGGCTCTGGAGGTAGTATATATGCGGGTGTTGTTTCTGGGCGCCATTGCAGGTTTGGTGTTTTGCGTGGAAATGATGACCAGATCTTTGTTGGAGATGGAGCAGATCTGCCGTGTTGCTAGCTAGTCGGTTGGGCAACGCGCAGGTCAATGCAACCGTGAAAGATTTCCAAGTTGGTGCATGCTGCGTTCAGCTGACTTTTGTTTTTGGGATCATCAGAATCTGATGATCAGGAAGGTGGCACTATTTGATGATTGTTTTAAGCAGAAGCAGATGTTTTTCTTGTACTTGGAATGCTTGCTAGATGATTTGAAGCAGATGTTTTGAAGCAGATGTTTGGTGCCTTTTATCTCAGAAGTACTTGAGAACTTCAAAAACCTCGAGAGAACCAAAAAAAAACATAAAATTATGAGGAGAATCTTTGGTTTGCCACTTTTTTGTTTTTTGGTTTTCTCAAGGTTTTTTTTGTTTTTTTGTTGTTCCTAGTGTTTTTGCTTTTTGCATGAAAAACAAAAACCCATGTCTTTTTTTGGTTTTCACTCAAAAACCAAAAAAACTAGTCTTTTTTGGTTTTTCAATAGTCTTTTTTGGTTTTTGGAGTGAAAAAACAAACCACTTGAGTTTTTTGTTTTTTAAGGAAACCCAACAAAAACCCTAGTCTTTTTTGTTTTTTAATGAAAACCAAAAAAACACTAGTCTTTTTTGGTTTTTTGATTGAAAAACCAAAAGCAGACTTAGGAAAACCAAAAAAACCAAAAAAACCTTGAGAAAACCAAAAACCAAAAAAATGGCAAACCACAGATTCTCCTCAGAATTTTGGTTTTTGGGTTTTTTGGTTTTCTCGAGGTTTTTTGAACTTTGGGAGACTTCTTCGTGTTGCTTAGCCTTTTGAAGCTTGAAGATGCTAGAAGCTTAATAAGCAAATGTTGCTTGTCAGACAGGGACAGATATTCCAAGTACGCTCAGCTTTTTGCTTGCTCCTCCTTGTCTCGTGCTTTGGTAGTCTACATCTCCCTGAGTTGTCGATTCTTCACATTCTCCCGGGGAGCGTGCTGTTCGATAAAGTCAAAGCCGATGTTCCATTCCTCTTCCCAGGTTCTCGAAGACATAGTGAAGATATTTCTTCATGTACTTCACGTTATTCTTCCAATCCACCATCAAAGGCTTGACGAAGGTCATGGGCAAGATGTCCGAAATCTTTGCTTTCTCCTTGAAGTTGATGATCTTGCACACACAGAAGTTTCCATCTGTTTGCTTCAAGACCGCGATGTCCAGCATGTAGGGTTGCCGAGGCTGGGACTTCAGACCATAGAGGCTGCTGCTGAACCGGTCCGGCAACCCTTCCGAACTTATCGGGTTTGGCCTGTCCCTCTCGATTGGAATCATGAAACGTTGGAACATGAGCTTGCCCAGTTTGGCCTTCAGGACCTTCAGCTCCTTGCCCGCCATCGGCAGAAGAACGGAGCTAAATTCCTTTACCGTGCTAAGGCCTCCTCTTCCTTCGAACTTGCTGCCATCGATCTGGCCGACGGCAACTCTATCCAAGTCATGGCCCAACAGCGGCAGCAGGCTCACAGGCCTGCCCAACGTGTTTTGCGTCCTGGTAAGGGTGCTTTTGCTGCCCCTCCGGCTTCGCCCGTTCCCACTCTGACCAAGCCCGCGCCTGCTGAGGTCAAGCCGGATGTTGCCACTGAGTCGCCTGCTGAAACTGAGGGCGGTCGCCCCCCGCCAGCCGATGAGCCGTCAGCCAAACGGCGTGGGGTTGAGCCTCCGTTGCTCAGGCGCCTCCGCCCGTCCATGCTTTGCCCAAAGGCTTGGTTCGAGTGCCCAACCCCGGGAAAGGTGATTGCCTCTTCTATGCCCTTTCGGAGGCTCTTCCTGGAAACAGTCCTCAGGGCCTCCATGGTTGCCCACATGCGGCGCCACTCTGCCCGTTATGAGGGCTACTGGAATGCCACCGCTCCCACCCGGGAAGAGACACACATGGACAGCTGGTCTGCTTACCTGGATGCTCTTGCCTTGGACCTCCTGCCTTGAAATCTGGGCTGTTGCTGTCCATTTCGACTGCCCCATCCTCATGTTTTCTCCCACCATGCCTCCTCAGGTCTTCAACCGAGAGGGCAAGAAGCATGGCCCTTTCATGCTGTGGTTTGAGGCTGGCCACTTTGAATTGGTGAAGCGTGAGATACCGCAGGACTGGCTGTCCTCTGCCATCACTGCTGCTCGGTCTGGTTGTCGGGGTGGCTCTGCTGCTGGCAGTGGCCACACCCGTCTGTCTGCGTGTGGCTCCCACTCCCAGAGGCAATCCACTTTGATTGAGAGCTTTGCTGCGGGCTCTGTCCCTCACAGTGGTCACACTCGGCTTTCTGCTCTTCCGGCCGGGGTCGTTCCAGTTGCTGCTTCGCGTCCTTTGAGCCCTCACGCCGATGCTGACGGAGGCTCCCCCCTCACTGCTCCTGCCTTGCCCGCCCAAGGCTCCTACACTGATGATCTGCCAGCTTGCCTTGGTGACCTTGCTGATTTTGAGGTCCCAGTGCAGGAGCCCGCCCCTTCCTCAAGCATGAACCGCCACAAGCGGCGCAGCTGGACTTGCCGCATTTGTCAATGGACCACTGGTGTCCGCACCACATGGAGTCAGCGAAAGCGCTCCCATATTCTGGCTTGGCACGCGGACTGCTTGAGACACCTTGATCTTGCCCGGCTTCCGGATCTGATTCAAAGGGATCTCGGCCCTTGCTCTTGGACTTGTCCCTTGTGTGACTTGGGCATCCCTGTCTCTGTGTCTGATGCCGATGTGCACTGCCGCGCGCAGGAAGCATGCTGAGACGATGCACCCTGATGCCCCAAGGCGCAGCTTCCTTGTGCGAAACCGCGACCGTGATCGCACCAAGCGCCAGTGCCGTCTTGCTGCCAATTCCAAGATCAACTTAGGAGTCGCACGCAGGCTTCTTCAGGTCCGGCAGGGACAGCGTGGCCAGCGCGCGGTTGAATTCCTGACTCACTGAGGCTCAGACTGAGGTGCGATCTGGGAACCGCGTCAGGCGCCGCACCTCGCTCATGCCCAAAGCCTTTTGTGCCACATGCCGGCACCTGGCCCCCTCTGTTCCTGCCCTCGGCCATCTGCCGTGTTCGTTGGAAGGCGTTGGTGGGCCTAAGCGGCTTGCACTGTTGCGCCGTTTGCGGCAAATTTCTGAGGACTGTGGCCAGCCCCACTGTCGCTTTGCGCAAGCTCACCATCCCTGTCCCTGTGCCCAACGGGCAGCATGTCATTGAGGCGATTCTTTGGCCACTCACTCCCAGCCAGGCGAGCGTCTTGTGCGCCACCTGCCTCCGCACTTCCACTCGGGAGCGCACTCTTGCTCGCACAGCTTGCCCCGGACATGTTGCCTGGAGCGCCCGCCGTCAGGCATTGCTCCGCACTTTGGATTTGGCTCTCTCTCTCTCTCTCTCTCTCTCTCTCTCTCTCTCTCTCTCTCTCTCTCTCTCTCTCTCTCTCTCTCTCTCTCTAGATCCCGAGCGTGACCAGCGCATCCGCACGCTGAGGAGGCGACTCCACCCCGCTGCGCCGGATGAGGCGCAATGATGCAGCTTCCTGACGCTACAGCCTTGCACGTTGGCACTCTGAACGTGCGCGCCCTCAGTCACCGCTTAGGGGCTGTGCTGGCACTTGCTGCCGACAATGCCTTGCAAATCCTGTGTCTTCAAGAGAGCCGCCTGTCCTCGGACTGTTTTGGCACTGTGCGTCGCGCTGCTCACCTTGCGGGCTAGGAGTTTCACGCTGGCTCCCAAACGCTTGATGCCTCTGGCCACCCCTTTGGCGGTGTTTGCCTGTTCTCCCGATGGCCTTTGCAGGCCGTCACCCTGCCTTCCAATCCGGCTTTTCTGGGCCGCGCCTCTGCTGCTAAGGTTCACAGGCCAAACCTTCGGCCCTTGCTCTTGCTGGGTGTGTACCTCCATGCCTCGTGTGCTTTCACTGCTGCCTCTACCCTTGAGGCCCTCTTTCAGTGGGCGGCCTCCACGGGTGAAGATTGGGTCGTTTTGGGTGACTTCAATCTCGGGAAATCGCATTGGCCCATCGCCTCTGCGCTCGCCTCAGGCGCCCTCTACGACGCAGATGCTGTGATAGGCGATGTGGGCAATTTGCCTGGCACCCATCGCAATGCTGCTGGCTCCCTCACTGGGAGTGTGATCGACTACATGCTTCATTCCCCTTCGGTACATGTTGTGCAGCGGCAGCAGGTGAGAGGAGTCGCTGACCATGATTTGGTGAGCTACTCAGTTGTTTTGCAGGGGCCGGCTCAAACTCTTTGCTGGCCCCGTTTTGCCCCCTGCTGCGGCTGTTGCCACTTGGTGTCCGCCTCAGGCCCCCGCCCCTGCTCGGCTTTTCCCTCTCCGCAACCTTGCTCAACCTGTGGGCGACCCTGCGCTTTTGCCCACTCTGGATGGGGAGGACCTTCGGAAGCAAGCGCGGCTGGCCCGCAACAAGGCTCCCGGGCTTGATGGCTGGACTGCTGTTGCTTGGCTTTTGCTCCCTGACCACTTTTTCGAGTGTCTTGCTTCCATTTGGCAAGTTTGTCTCCTTAGCGGCTTTGTGCCCAGCGCTTGGCAGCGCATTCGCATCGCCACACTCATTCCCAAAACTGAGGGGGGGGCTGGCGGCCCATTGCTGTTGCCCCGCTTGCTTGGCGGGTTGGTTTGCGGCCTGGGCTGATCCTGAGCTGATGGGTGGCATCCAGGGCAGGTCCATCCATGATGTCCATGCGGATTTGTGCTGCGACTTGCAAGAAGCCAAAGCTTCCAACACGCCGTTTGTCGGAGTCAAGCAGAATGTGCGGAAATGCTTCGACCATGTTTCTCCTGCTCTCGCACTACAAGTGTGGGAATGGCTTGGCGCTCCTAGGGCCCTCGTCGCCGTGGTCCGGGCGTTCTACACTAACCAGTTTCGCTGGTTTGCCTGTTGTGCCTGTTCGCAGTGTCCTTCAAGGGTGCCCTGCCAGCGTCGGCCTTCTCAACGGTCTCATGCTGTTATGGGTTCGGCGGTTGCGTTGGCTTGTTCCTTCCGTCCGCTTGTCCATTTATTTGGACGACCGTACCCTGTGGTGCTCGCAGCGGCAGCCTATACCCCCTTTGCGGCTGGCTCTCCACATTGCCCAACACACGGATACCGTCCTCGGCCTTCAGGTGCATACTGACAAGCTTGCTTCCTGGGCAACCCGCCACCGTGACCGCCGCCTGTTGCGGGCTGATGCCGTCCTGTTCGGCGCAGAACTCTCGAAGTTCAAGTTCCTTGGTGTTTGGTACTCGGTCAAATACCGCCAAGGGTTCTTTGAGCCTACCCGGATCACCGCCCTCGTCCGGCAGCGGACACGGCGCATTGCCCGTGCTGCCCGCTCTCTTCACGTTAGGCGCTTCCTTGTGTCTTCCCTTGTCGTCAGTTTGTTTTCCTGGATTGGCCCTTGGACTTGCATTCCCCGTAAGGTCATCCAAGGCTGGGCCTTTGCCATTGAAACTGCCATTGGGGCCGGTGTCGTTTCTGCCCGGTCCAGATTTTGGTTGTGGGGTGCTTGGGCTCAGCCGTCTAGACACCCTTCGGTTGCTTTAGCTGTCGCCGCCATGCGGCAAGAGGTCTCCCGTGTCAGCGGCCTCGGCCATCGTCCTCCGCCCCGTCGCCCTTGTCCTGGCTTGCAGTTTGCCACGAACGCGCTTGGCTTTACTGCTCCCACTCCTGGCACTTGGAGCACTCCGCTGGGTTCCTTTCCTGTTCCAATGAGGCGCTTGTTGCTGTTGCTCAAGCTTCCTGGCTTTGTCAGCTTTGGTCTGCGGATCCCAAAACTGCTGGCCCCCTTGGCGCTGGGCAAGCCCCCTTCCTGGGTTTCCATTCCAGGGCCATCGAGGCCTCTCACCCTCGGGGTCATCTCCGTCGTGTGCTGCGTGCTGCTGCTCACGATTTCAGTGTGAGTGCGGGGACCTCTGCCCCACTTGCACTCATGTGACCTTCCACTGTCCGTCTCGGGTTGCCCTGCCCGTAGTCCTGCTGAGAATCGCTCGCTCGTTCCTGTGCTCTCTGCTCTGCGGCCCCGCGACTGGAGGCATGTTGCTCCGTCGCACGCGCTGGTCCAAGCTTGCGCGTCTGCTCCCCGCCGCCAATGCAGAGTCGTGGTTGCCACTGATGGCAGCTGCTTGCAAGCCACAAGTTGGAAGGGCATGCGCTGGTAGCGCGAGGCCTCTTGGGCTGTTGTTTTTCAGGGCGCCCCCGCCTTCGCCGGTGAAGTCCACAGCCCGGACCTGTCCCCTGTCGCTGCTGAGCGCCATGCGCTCTTGCGTGCTGTTCTCAGCGCCGCTTGCGACGGCGTCCCGCTGCTCATCCTTTGTGACTGCAGTGGAGTTGTCCTTCGGCTCCAGCGGGGCCTTCGACAGAACTCTTGGTGCGGTGATGCCCCTGGCTTTTGGCGCCTCATCCGTGACAACATTCCGCCCGGCTCTGACTGTCTGCGGGTTCCTGCTCATGGCCGTCGCCCCGACTGGACGCCCACATCCCCCCTTGTCGATGCGGCAACTGCTCGCTCCCTGAACGACCAGGCCGACCGCGCCGCCCAGGCGGATGTTGCAGGGCGTCGCCATCATTTCGACGCTGCGGCCACGCAGCATGAGGAGGCTCACCTGTGGGCGGCTGCGGCTGTCCGCCATCAAGTTGCTGGCACCGAGATGTGGCATGAGCAGGTCGCCGCTGAGGCTTCTTTGGCCCGGCGATCGCGTGACCTTTAGGCTACCCCGACTTGGCTGCTTAACCCGTGTCAGGTTGCAGCACACAACAACAACAACAACAAGGCATTTTCTTTACAAATGAGGTGGGCATTTGCAGTTGCGGCATATAATACAAAGGGCCGAAAACTGCGTGCGTGCGTCAAACAAGTCTCACACACAGCAGGAGGCGTGGATCTTGGGGGGGGGGGGGGGGTGAGCATATATATATATATGTATACTATGCCTGTCTTGAGATGTGTTTGATCTTCTCAAACCATCAGGAAGTGACAGTCAGGGACAGAGATGGTTTGCCCAGCGCTCGCCCAGCGGAGTGGGAGTAAGAATTCGGAACTCGGGACCAAGTCCAAAAACACGGCTGAAATTGCAATCTTTCAAACGATGTTCTTTGCATGCTTTTCCACACCCCGATGCCCCCTGGGATTTCAGGAGCCTCGGCGCGCGGCGAGGAGCTGCGCAGCGACCACGAGCTGGTCCTGGCGGCGGTGGCGCAGAACGGCCTCGCGCTGCAGTACGCCTCGAAGGAGCTGTTGGGAGGCCGTCGCCGTCCGGAGGGCACGGTGCGGGTGGGGGCCATCCGATTCCAAGTCAAACCTGCTTCAAGAGCGCTTTTCGGGATTGAAATTTCTTTGTTTGAGATTTGGGGGTTGTGTTTCCTCACAATGTTTCAGAAGATGTGAGCCTTTTCCTAATCTTAACAAGCGACTTCCAAGAACCCAGACATTTATGCGATCGATGGGGAGTGAGTATATTATGAACACCGTTTGTTTTGACCAGGGTCCGATATACTTCTTGAACGTCAAATGCACCATGGAGTCAATCCAGAGTCTCGATCAGGTTTGCTATGTAGTTTTAGCTGAGCCCTTGTTTAAAAGCTGCACACTTGCATAGTAATGCAAGGGGGTCGAAAGCGGGCAGCTTTTCTTCCGGGACGGGATTGGCATGCTGCGCTTGGCCTGGGTCTGTGCTTGGGACGTCTGCAAAGTCGCTTTTCTGCAGTACGTTCCCCTGAAACGACCGGATTTGCCTTCGTCATTGTCAAGTTTCGCCTGGAAATGATGAGTGTTTGGATGTCAACATCCAGGTCTCCACAGACACTGGGGCAAGAGTGGGCACCTTTGGCCAGCCATGCAGTCCTGGGTGTGTTTAGTTGGGGCCTTCCTCCGCAGATCCAAAGAGCTTCATTGGGTTTTGTTCTTTGTTTGTGTTTTGAAGAGCTCTTTGTTGGGACGGAGCAGATCTGCGCATTTGCCCGATGTGATTTATTGCTTGAGGCTGGTGCTTGTGAGTTTGATGCTTTGCAAATTAGTCGATTGGGCAACACGCAGGCAGACCGGTTGCGTTAAAGAATCCTAAGCTGGTGTCGTCAGTTGGTCTGGCCTTTTATGTTGAGACGTGTTTGATCGCCTTTGCCAAACTTGGACCAGGAGATAACTTGTGTTTCACAGCCGACCGTGAGCCCGGAACCTCCGGCTAGCTGTTTGCCGTGGCGCAGGGTTCGGGGAGCCAAAGCGCGGGACCTCCGAGGAGCTGCGCAAGGACCGGGCCTTCGTCCTAAAGGCGGTGGAGAAGACACGCGCCTGGTTCCTAGTGAACTGGGCCGGCCCAGAGCTCAGGGTGGACAAGGACTTCCAACGGCGGTGCGTTGACACCTGCAGCACTGGGCTGGTCTTCACCTACTATGAGAGCTACACCGCCTTCACCAACATGAGATCAAGCTTCCTCGCCACGGGCGCATCCGTGCCGGGAGGCCAAGCATACGAGCGTGTAATGGAGCAGCTGCGCAACCGTGGCGACGAAGGCTCCCGAGCCGCAATTGCCCTTCGGGGTGCTGATGGTATTTTTTTGTCGGGGAGATAATTGAACTGAACGCTTTCGATTCGTGCAGAGAATCGTTTGTTGGTTGTTATGCAGCAATGCAACATCCAAAGCACAGTTCATCGCTGTCAAGAAACGCCGACTAGGAAAAGGCATCAAGTGTTCATAGATCGGCATTGGCGCAGTCCTTCTCACTGCCCGCAACATTGTTTGGCAAGCTTATGACTCATGAGAAACCCTGAGGGTGTTTGTGTGAGTGTGCACGTGCCCTGTGAGAACAGCCACACGAACCTACAAGAATCCACAACAATGGCTTGATGTTTGCAAGACCTCAGTGGATGTGGTATATGTCAACTTTGCACATGTTGAGTTGAAGCGTGTTGTAGGCAAGGTTTGCAGAGCAAAGTTTCAACACCCGGCAACGCAAGCCGTGCCGAGGAGCTGCGACGGTGTGGTTTGATAAGGTACCGGCCTTTGGCGCCTTCGCAGACGCTGGCCGCTGGCTACATCCCAGCGAGGAGTGCGGAAGAGACTACTCGCCGGTGCCGCCAGACTCACCTGGACGCCATCCGATGTGGAGATCCAAGGTGGAGTCCTGCGCTGCGGAGTCCATCCCGGAAGTTGGATCCAAGCACCCCTGCTGCTCGGTTTGCCCAGAGCAGGTGTGTGAGGCTTGTTGTAGCTCGCACATCTAAGTGTCAGCGTTGGGATACGTTTCATTGGTTTGAGACGTTTACGGTTTTTTTAGCTTTGGACACATGTGCAGTACCTGGACTACAGGCTGGTGCTGCCACTGGATTCGAAAAGTACGGGAGCGCCACGCAAGCAGGCGCCGTGATCTGCTGCACCGTGTCCAACATCTTCAATCCAGACTCTCGGACCGCACTACGCCATGGTCTTCCGCGCCTGCCTTTGCCAAAAATGGAATCCGCCCTGGCCTCGCCTAGGCCTGGGTGAGAGAACGCGGAGCAGGATCGTCTGAGCTCAGCGACCAAAGGGCCGATGAGTTACAGCTGCCGAGGCAACTTTGGCTCAACCTTGTGTTGGTGTACCTGTCTTAGTGTCTTAGTCTTGGCTTGGGGTGTTGGAGTCGGACCTTCGGCCTTGAACGCTTGCCAGGGAATACTTCAAGAATGGCCGGCCTGAGGGCTGGGGCTGCGGAAAGATCACCATTGATGGCACCGAATTTGAGCGATCCATCAACGCACGGGGTTGCCACTGGGCCAGGGGTGTCGCTGGGAGCGGAAGGCCCTTGATGGGATGGATTTCCCGGTGTACGTGTTCCTCATGCCATGAGGCATGTGCTTTGGTCAAGCCAGCGAGCAAGTGATGGCGCGACTTGCGGCTGCTCGGTTTCACCTCAGTGTCGCTCAAGCCCAAAGAGTTTGTGACATCGTTGAGTTGAATGTTCCTGTGTGGTTTGCTAAAGGCGAAGTGCTCGGCCGATTCCACAGCTTTGGGCTGGGGGAGACTGATTTGATTTGCTAGGCTGTGGCCGAATTACTCTCCGGCCTGCCCTTGACGGAACATATTGATCTTGGAGCACTGAACACCCCGGTACCATAAACACACATGTCATTTTGCTGGAAGCGCCCAGCATTGTGTTCAGCGCGATGTGTTGCCTTTGGCCGACTCCATGGCTCCATGCATCAAACGTGCAACTTGAAGAGGTCCGGTCAGAAGTAGAGTTCCTGCTGCAAAAAGTCATGGCGTGAATAAAACCGTATCTCTCCCTTGAGGCGCCCTAGACCCCCCCAGGCCCTGACCCGGTCTTTGAAGTAGATCATCAGGCCCCAGCCAACCAGCGCTGCAACTTGATCAAGGCGAGCAGGCTCTTGCCCCTGGCTGGAGAGCTTGCAGTGCACCTTCTGCCTTCAGTTTGATTGACAACAAGCGTTGAACAACTTTTCTGGACTTTTCCGACATGTCGCGCGCGATCGGCAACTCGGCGGAACGCGCCCTCCACACTGGTCTATAACTTGCACAAGGGGCAGTGACGCCCGAGGTGCGCGTTGGCGCCAAGAACAGAGCGCCAACCGCATTGCGTGGTTGGGGCGCCGCAAGGCAACCGGAGATAGGTAAAGCAAGCGCATCGGCGCCACATGGGTGGCCCAGAACAGAGCACCAACCGCATTGCGAGGTTGGGGCGCTGCAAGGTGAACCACGAGCGCTTAGCGCTCTCCTGAGGTGTCCAAGAACAGAGTACCAACAGCTTCGCACGGTTGGGACGCCGCAAGGTGAACCAGGAGAAAAGAGCAACGCGAGAGCGCCACAGGCAGTGTGTTCCAGCCCGATGCCATGAATACCGGTAACCCAGTGAGTCCATAACACCAGACTGTACAACCCCATAGCGCATGATCTCGGCCATGCTCCCGAACCACTGGCTCGAGCAAAAACTGACGACCCGTCGCCTATCCAAGTTCACGGCCCTTCCAGAAGAACAGGAAGAGGAAGCCCAGCACAAAGGTAACCACGCTGCAGTCGCATAAGCGCCACGGGGAGGAATCAGCCCCGTGCTCCAAGAAAACTTGCACCTGCGCTTCATATCACCTACAAGTTCTAGGAACACACAGAGCCCATACGTGTTCAAAGTGAGCAGTTCCGAATTCTCCAAAAACCAGACCACCCTTCGCCCCGGCATGTGAGGGAAGGGCGCAAAGGAACTAGCACGTGCGCGGCTGAAACGAGCGTAGTCAAGTGTAGCCTCCTCTTGATGTAGGCATAGAAGAGCACGCAGAGACTGCGAAGAGTCCACGGCAATGCAAACCAGACCGATGCCCGCATTCGTACAACGCTCCAAAACTACAGAAATGTATTGCAGGATGGTCGCTGCACTCAAGGCACCTTGCATGCCCACTGCTCTGCGCATGAAATGCCAGGACCATGAACCACCACACGACAATCCAGCAGACATGTGGGTTTGCATCTCCATCTTGAAGTAAGACCTACACCACGGTGCACCCACCCTGTAGATCATCACAAACCCGTGTCCATGGCGTTCCGAGCGATCGACTTGCGCGGCCCACCCTCTGGTAGGTTGCTTGGGCCAGGCTAAGCGTTGAACAACTGAGCTTTGCCCTGATCACATGACTTCAAGTTCCAAATGTTTGCTTCCTTTTCCCAAATTGCCAGGATGGCGCAGCAAGTTTCTGGGTCGTCCGTCAGCCCAGGCCTCCGCCCCACCTGCCCTGGGCCAAAGGGTGCCGGCCCCGGGCGCAGAGTGCTGGTTGGAGGCGTCCACGACGACGTCAACGCAGGTTTGCTGCGACTGCCCATGCCCGCGCTGTGTCGGCGGTTTTGGCTGGGCAGGATGAGGCTCAGGATGCGCCATCCACAAACTCATTCCAGGCTAGGCATTCAAGTAATCTATGACTCATGCCTGCACTAAGAGACCCAGCGACACGGGAAGCATGGGCCTCCAAGCCCACAGCCGACTTCGGTCCATCCAAAAGAGTTGGAACCCTAACCCTGAACCCATTGGCTCGTACCAGCGCTTTGGCTAATTGGCTTGACAGAGAAGGCTGGTATACTTCAATCTGCTTGCCCCTCTTTGTTTGTTCGTTGAAACCCTTCACCGTGCGCTCGATTTACTTTGGTCAGGGCGGCATGTCCGCCGTTTTGCGACAAGATCCGCGCCAAAGTGCAGCAGCAGCCTCTTGCCTAATGAGAGCGGCTTGGGGGGCATAAATAAGTTTGTCTTGCCGTGCTCCTGATCGGAGGGTTAGCGGCCTTTTGCCCCATGTCGGGGGGCATGAAAGTTGGTTCAGTCAAGCTTTTAACAATTGTGTGGACATACTTCTTTGGGTTTCCATTCAACAGTCCGTCAATGCGTTCTTTTCGCAAGAAGCAAGCTGAGCATTTGCTGGGAGCTTAACTCTGGCAGCTTTGCAGGATTAGGTCGGGGGAATGAACGCTGCTTGTCAGCTGGGCCCTTCCCCAGGACAAATGCTCGCGCTTGCACCCGTTTATTTTTCCGTCAAGCTGGTACTCCAAGCGCCAAATTGAAGTACCCAGAGTTTCCTTTTTGCCGACTGAAACCACACAATCCACTCGCAAGAAACCCATGTATAGGGCACACCCTTTCCCCACCTTTTGCTGGTTCTTGGGAACCTCGGGGCTTTGGAAATGAACCGGAAGGTGTTCAGTTTGAGGTCACTCCCTCCCTACTGAGAATCAGGAAGCGAAGTGGCTAAGGTCAACAAGGACTTTCCTTGGAACAGGCTGAAAGATGCCGATCCCTTTTCGGAGTGGTGGTGGTGATATATGTCAGATACCCATTTGATGGCATGTGTTTTGAAACATAGACGCCGTGTCCGAAAACATGCTGGAAGTCCCTCAGACCGGAACAAATTCGTCTTTGGAAACATCTATGGTGCGTACAGTTACATAACTGTGTATACATAAGTAAGGTAAACAAACATACCAAATACCTGTATCTTTCTTGGTGGATTCAGTCATAATATATTTTTTCCACCTGCTGTCCGCTCTGTGTTTTTCATTTTTTTCCTTTTTCGGAAGGCTTTTCCTTGAGCCTGAGGTGCCGGCACCCATGGCGATGCTGGCCCTGTGCCGCCGGCATGGATCATTGCAGAAGCTGTGGTTGGACATGGTTTGGAGCAGCTTTCAGGGAGGGTTCAAAAGGAGGGTTCCAGAGGGATCCAGAGGGTTCCCTTTGGGGCTAGGGATATCACTGGTAACTCAATTGAGTTTCACGTTTTGGGGTCTGCACCGTTGTGGTGGTAAACAAACAGTTTGGTTACTTGTTTTGGCCCATCTCAGGAAGTGAGTCTGTTTGACCGCCGCATCAACATGGAACCCACCAACAGCGTGTCTCAGAGGTTACCCACCTTCGGTGAGAAGGATTGTGTTCTTGTTCAAAGAGCCAATTCCGTTGCATGGTCAAAGTACCCCGTTTCTTGGGGCTAAGGATAGTTACGCGTCGCGTAGCGCTGGCTTCGGCTGAAGGTCTGACAATTCAGTTCAAGCAACTGCGTGGCTGTAGATGCTGATGCGTTCGGGCACGGCTCATATATCGGATGCGAATGCCGCCTCAAACCCGATTCCTCAAGTTACCCTCCCTCCAACAATCATGGAAGACTGGTTGCCTTTTAGGGAAGCCCCCGATCATCCACTTCCATGTGATTGTTGGAAGGAGGGCAAAGCGCACAGCAGAGACTATACCAACACTTGAAACTGGTATTCGCCAGGCTCTGGCACCTTGAGCCAAAAGGCTTCCAAACGCTATGCGCGGCAAGTTATCGCTGTTCGGATGTAAACCCAACCTAAAAGGGGGTCCGGGACCTCAAACAAGACCAGGAGCCAGGTGGAATCTAGGCTCAAGCTTCATCCCAGTGCCTCGCCAGGCTGCCGCTGTTTTGGCACAGGGACGCCAGACCCTTACCTTTCGGCTGCATCCTCGACAGGCGGAGCCGGGAGCGCCGGGAGCGGCGAAAGAAACGGGGCAGAGGGATAGCCAGGTTCGATAGGCAGGAGCTGTCTCGTTGGAATGAGCCCAACCCCATATAACCCATGGCCTATGGTCTACTTTCGGGAAGCCCCCCCAAACGGCCCATTCAACCAACACCCAGACTCAGAAATGTATTCCCTGACGCACCAGGAACAGGAGCTGCCACTTCGCCGGTGCAGCAAAGTTCATCCGTCCCTTTTTGTGTGGTGAGTGTCCCACTGAAAACATGCGATTCCAACCCTAGGGCTTCCCCAGGCAACAGGGTGTTGGCAAGTAGGAGTTACACATCGGATATAGGGTTGCAGAATGATTATATATATATAACACGTAAGGTATACTTTTTTCTATGTGACATGTGCGTGTCGTATGTTTGCATTTTGGCCGGCTCAGCATGCAAGCAAAGTCGAAGCAACAGAACACTTCACATTGCCAGCCGTTTGGATATCCACCCAAGCGGCGTCCTAGGGTGATCTAGCTTCATGCAGGGTTTCCTTCCCTTTTAGTTGCAAAGCACATGGCTTCCGTCAAGATGCAGGCCTCCTTTCTAGTCCAGATTTTCAGTGGTCTCCTTGGTCCTTTGTGTACCAATATCAAGAAGCCCACTGGTCCGAACGCAGATGACCCCGAAGGGAGGCCGACCACTTGGATTTTTCTCTGTGGAGGATGAATGGGGTGCCTATTTTGCCAACCTGCACTCGTCAGTGGCTTTTCCTTTTGGTTGCCTTGAATCAACCACGCAAAGGCCCTCCAAAATGACATGCATTTGGCATGCTGCTGTTTACTTGCCCAGTTGCCCAGTGGTGCCCGTTTTTTTTTTTATGGGTAAGGGTGCCCCGTTAAACTCAACCAACAAAAGAAGGGTGCCCTTTTGGTGCATGGAAAATCCACTGGGCATCTGAGCTAATCGGATGGCCCCGGACCCACA